CTGCTCTTGGGGAGAGCAGACTTTACCTCGGATGTGAACGCTGCCGTGTCCCTCCTTCGCTGCCTGGTTCTCAGCACGGCACCGCGGGGACTTCCTGACCCCTGGAAGGTACGGTGCAGTGGCAGGCCCATCCCAGGCAACTGTGCTCAGAAAATGTTTACTTCATCTCATTGAACAACAGAGCTTTTTGAAAGGACTCATGTAGTTTTACCCAATAACCACATGCTACAGGCATTCTTTTTGTGTCCATTAAAGAGAGAGCACCTCCCAGAAAACAGCTGGACACGAGGCAGAAGGATATAAAGCGGGTGATGCTACACTGTCCTGGGAGGTGCCTCCTGCAGTGAATGCAGGGAAGACCAAAGACAGGGAATCTCTGCACAATGACGTGCACAATGGAATCAAAAGTCACGGACCGTATAGGTTCAGAGTAATCGGCTCTGTTAGGCAGTGTGATAAGGGAAGATATGAGTTCAGAAGGAAACACTGGGTATAAGATTATTGGGGAAAGAATACAAGCTTCAGAGCTCAGCCAAACTACAATCTTAAAAAGAGGACTGGCTCACCACATCAACAGATAAAAAGTAAGGCCCAAAGCAATACAAATAGCCCAGCAGTTAAAAGTGCTGACTCTGGGCGTATCTTCTCTCTCACAAGAACGGGTTACCAGGAGGATCCACCAACTCTGCAGGGGAAGGGAAAGAAAAACGTCACGCAGATGCGGACGAAGTTCGTCTTGGAAAATTCTGACTGCAATGATGCAGGAGAGTGAGTAGATCTTGATGTTTCTACACAAGTCACAGGCTGAGGCAGAAAGATGTCCAACAGGAAGAATTTCAAAGAATCTTTGGCAGAGACAATGACAGAGAGAGCCCAGAAATAAACCCACACTGTATGGTCAATTAATATTTGACAAAGGAGGCAAGAACATACAACGGGGTAAAGAAGGTCTCTTCAGTAAATGGTGTTGAGAAAGTTGGACAGATACATGCAAAAAAAATGAAACTTAGACCATCGATTTACACCACACACAAGAATAAACTCAAAATGTATTGAAAACTTATGTGTAAGTTGTGAAACCATAAAAATCCTAGAAGAAAACATAGGCAATAAAGCCTCAGATATTTCTTGTAGCAATAGTTTTGCTGATGTATCACCTTGGGCAAGAGAAACAAAGGAAAAACAAACAGATGGGACTATGTCAAACTCAAAAGCTTCTGCACAGCAAAAGGAATCATCAAAATGGAAAGGCAACCCACTGAATATACAAACATATTTGCCAATGATACATATGATTAGAGGTTAATATCCAAAATACATGAAGAACTTATACACCACCACTAAGAAAACAAGCAATCCAATTAAAAAGTGGTCAAAGGATCTGAATAGACACTTCTCCAAACAGGACATCCAGATGGCCAACAGACACATAAAAAGATGCTTAACTTCACTAATCATCAGAGAAATACAAATTAAAACCACAATTAGATACCACCTCACACATGTCAGAATGACATTAATAAATTAACAAACAAGTGCTGGTGAGGATGTGGAGAAAGGGGAACCCTCATGCATTGTTGGTGGGAATGCAGACTGGTGCAGCCACTGTGGAAAGCAGTATGGAGTTATCTCAAAAAGTTTTTTTTAAAACTGCCTTTCAACCCAGCGATTCTACTTCTGAGAATATATCCTAAGAAACCCAACACGCTAATTTGAAAGGCTATATGCACCCCTATGTTCACTGCAGTGTTATTTACAATAGACAAGATGTGAAAGCAGTCCAAGCGCGGGTCAGATGAGTGGATAAAAAAGCCGTGGCACATGTCCACAATGGAATACTAGACAGCCACAAAAAAGGAAACCTCACCCTTTTCAACAGCATGGATGGACCTGGCGAGCATTCTGCTAAGTAAAATAAGCGAGTCAGAGAAAGACAAATACCATATATTCTAACTCATATGCACAATCTAATGAACAAAATAAATTTAACAATCAAAACGGAAACAGAAGCATATATACAGACTGAGAGCTGACGGGAGGGGAGTTGGGGATCTGGGTGAACAAAAGGGAAAGGTATTGAGGAAAAAAATTATATATTGTGTATGTAAAAAAGGCATAGACACAGACAGCAGTGTGGGGACAGCCCCACTCCCTCACTGGGAAGTGGGAGAAGGCAAAGGCGGGTAAATGGGGACAGAAGACTTTGCACAATGGGCGCACCATGCAGTGTGCATATGGTGTTTGGTTGAGTTGTACACTTGAAATCTGCATAGTTTTATTAACCAATGTAACCCCAATAAACTCAATTAAAAAATTTTTTTTAAATCCTGAACCTGAGCTATAACAAAAACAGGAGCTGTCAGCATGGAGATGGGTGAGCATGGAGGAGAGGTGCTGGAACGCAGCCTCTGAGCACCCCAACGCCGGAAGAGGGCAAAAGAGCAAGAGGCCACGAAGGCGGCGCCGTTGTCGAAGCCGAGGGAAGTGTTGCACAAGGGGGTGATGGGCTGAGTTCCACACTCCCGTGTGACCAAGTCGAGTAAGAACTGCTCACGGGCTTTAGCAACCCGCAGCCGTTGATGTTGGAACAGCCTGGTTCCAGCGGTGAGGCCCCCCGTCTGAAGGCAGTGAGTTCACAAACGGGGGTGAGAAACTGAGGATGGTAAGGGGAGATCTTGTATTTTTTTCAAAAACACAGAGTGAAACCAAGGAATCAAAAAACCCTAAATGTTATATGGGGACTTCTAGTGGACGTCAGATGTGCAGCGATGAGGTTTGCAGACCTGCTTTGCAACGGTTCCCACACAATGATTATGCAGAACGAAATTCTCTCATTCCCAAAGAATGATGGTTGCAACGGTCAACCCAGTCAGGAACACTCCATCTCATCTCCTTTCTAAATCTGAATTTATCGGGGTGACATTGGTTAATAAATTTATATACGTGTCGGGTGTACAATCCTGTAACATGTCATCTGTATGTCACACTGTGTGGTCACCAGCCCAAGTCAGGTCTCCTTCCGTCCCCATTTATCCCCCTTTACGGTCTTCTACCTCCCCCACCCACTTTCCCTCTGGTAATGACCTTACTGTTGCCTGTATCTAGGATATGAGTTTGGGGTTTTTTGGTTTTGGTTTGTTTTTTGCTGAACCTCTTCACCTTCACCCAGCCCCCAACCCCTGCACCTCCGACAGCTGTCACTGAAAGGGGCCGCGGCATGCAGTGCACCCGCAGGGCGTCCGCTTGGAGGAGGAGGAGGAGAGGCGGTTCACACGGACACAGCAGGCCGGGGAAGCTTGTGGGAGCGTTTCCTTCTAGACATTCTCAGTGAATCAGGTCCCCAGCCACGCACAAGGCAGAGCGCGCGCATCGCGAGAAGACGTCCGAGAATAGTTCGGGAGAGCCGGTAGGTAGGCCAAGAAAACGCGCTCGGACTGCGGGCAGCACGGACGGCCCACCCGAGGTCGACAGCCACGAGCTGGGCCACGAACAGTCCCCGCGCCTGTCGCCGGCCCGTCCCAGGCCCGCTGCACTTGGGGGGTGCAGGTGACCCGCAGGCAGAAGGCTGGACTTAGCCAGGGGTGTCCTTTGGCCCAGCAAGTGCATCAAGGCAAGAGAGGGACAAGGAGTTGATGGTGTACGCAAAGGAGCAGTTTCAAGGTCTGTCCATGGAGTTCACTCACACTGGGCGTGACTCTTGTATTGAGGTCGAGTAGGTGAAAAATCCTGCTTCTTAGAAAGCTCCTGCTTAGGTATTTAGAGGTCAAAGGTCACATCGTCCCAACTGGCATTCACATGGTTCGCCCCCAAAAAGTCTGTGGTGCATATACACACAACCATATGTACACAAAAAAACCCCAAAACTTTTTAACTGTTGAATGTAGGTAGAGGTACACAGGTGTTCAACTTTTCTAGGGATTCAAAAATTTTCAAATTAAGAAGTTGGGGAAAGCATGAGGTTTTAAAAAGAACTTTAGTCCATGAAATGTGGAGTTTACAAATAATGTAGTGTTTTTTAAAAATAAATTGTTCAATAGATGTGTCCAACTAGGTTAACAAATACAAGTCTGTACTTCACATTCATGCCTGCAAGTTTACATATTCAAACTGGGGATTCAGCGAACCCTGGAAAACCAACAAGTGGCAAAGCAAGCGCGGCGGCCGCCGCCGGTGGGGCTGGGACTCTGCGGTGGGCGGGGGCGGGGGCCCCGGGGGGCGGCGGGCGGCGTGGCAGAGGGCAGAGCACGGGTTTCCTGTGCAGGCCTCATAAAATGAATTCTTCACATGACATGTATGTATAGCTTCTTTCAAAACGGAAAGAAACCCCTCAGTTTCCTCTTATTTCATCCTGTTTTAATGCTTAACAAGAAATAAACTGAGGTGGACTATCAAGGAACAGCCATAGACAGGGGTGGGGAAAAAGCTGGTTTATAGCTGTGAGTACACAAAATAGTTCTTGTATTATTGATGATTAATTACTGTACTATTTCCCGTATGACCTGTAAACCCACTTTCGCCCCACTCTGTGTACACGGCGCGCACACACACATACACAGCTTTGATTCTTACCAGGCACAAATCTATTAACAAGAATGTTCATTTTTCTCCTTATGTAGGTATAATCTCAGAGAGGAAAAATAAAACCCCAATTGTAAATTGTTATGCTGTAAGGAGATGTGCAGAAATTAAATTAGTAGTCTTGAAGATGGCACCAGGTAAGAGAAAAGCACATACACATATTCTATCTACTCAATAAAACGGAAGCCACTCCTGCCAGCGCCTGAAATGACGGCACCGTGACAGCGCGCGGACGGAAGCGTGCGCGTGGAAGGTCGGGCTGCCGTTGGCTGCAACGGGCTGCTGCGGAGCCAGTGGCTGAAGAGACGAGAACTTACGTCTATGTCAGGCTAACAGATTTGTAGGTTCCCCTTCAAAGAAGAGAGAGGCAGCAATTAATAAAGACAAGTGTTCAGATTTATTTGGAAATTCACAGTTTCTAACGGCACTACAGCTCCGTCGTTCCACACTGAGCGTCCCCTCCCCACGGCCGGCGCCCGCCTCTGCTCCCACTGGCCCGCTCCCCCGTGGCTCCCTGCGCAACCAGGCCCTCTTGCTCTGAACGGCTAATTGTACAGACGGGAAAAAATGTCAATCATCTAAAACACACTGTTAATCTAAAGCAGCAACTTAAACAAACAAAAAAGGCTTTAAATAAGTCACATTACAAACAATACCCTCAGAAAGGTATTAGACAAGTTGAAACACAGTTACTACTGAAAGTGCTTAATAAGTTATAACTTAAGACTGACAACACAAAATGGTCAATTCTCTGCCTTTCAAAAGGAAACCTGCCACTCTCACTCATCACTGTACAAACATAGACAAAGAAACTGTTTTACTCAAAACACAGTTGCTGCCGATGAAAAGAAATAAAAGGACAAAACGAAGACAGGTGCCCTGGCATCTCACACGTCCATCTCCGCCACTCGCGGCCGCACGAAGCTGACACCAGGGACTGGACAGCCCTGGAGACCTGGCCGTAGAGGAGGCTCGACAAACTCACCGGCTGGTCTGGGCGTGTCTGTGGGCTGCGACTGCGTCACGTGAGACCTGGACTCGTTCGACAAACCTTCACATTTTCTACTTGTAGTGAGTGACAGTATGGAGGATCGGTGCTTACTGTGAATGTTTCAACCTTTACAAGTGGTTACATGTGTTTAAAAGGTGAATTTATAAAAAACTTATTTGCAAATACCAGTCATTTGTAAGAAAGATCTTGTAGTTTCGTTTTCCTCGTTGAGTTGTAACTACAGAAAACCAGTATGAATAAATTAAATGAAAATACATTTAAGAGTATCACCATTCACCTAAAAACAGACACAAAATTCCATCAAGTGTTGGTTTCAGGTGGGTTTGCTACACAGAGGTCTAGCTGGCAAGTCTGTAGCCTCTTCACACAGTCTGACCCACGTTACTGAACTTGAGGAGCAGGTCACCTTAAAGCCTTGTAGTGTTTGCAGCTTCAAAAAACTAACAGTTAGAAAAGAAATCAAATGACAGAAAAAGCCCCTCTCCTCTTCCAGTGGCGTTATAAATAGACAAAAGGCACATAAATATGGAAGGTGCAAGAAATAGGACCGAAGCTACAGGAAGAGGTTTGGGCTTCTATTCCTGACCCGCCCAAGGAACTGGGCTTCCAAATTACCAGCGATTAACCTGTGAAAAAGCGTCTTTAGAAAATGTCTGCCACTGTCCTTGTGGGAAGTCATCAGCCTGGCAGGACTTCGGCTCGTCAACCCAGACTGACCGACACAATCCCATCTACCTTTAAAAAGGCAGAACCCATAATTTCTGAATGCTTTTCCCATTAGCATCATCTCCCTCCCCGAAACCCTTCAATAACCACAGAGTGTTCTTCCAAGAACAACAGAAGTCCCCAGGAGGAAAAGTTCGATTATTCTAGATGTGGCCCGAGACAGCGGTCACCCCAAACGTGCCCACTGTGAGCTCTTTGTTGCCTCTAATGATGTCCTGCAGGCTCGGCAAGGACCCTGACTTAGTCTGTATCAGAGTTTTTATCAGCTTCCCTTGGTCTTGGACTTTGGACCGCCTCCGCTTTAAAGCCCTCTTCTCAGTTCTCGTCTTCTGGGGCTGCCCACCGCACAGGCTCGTGCAGGCTGCAAGGCCGCAGAAGTAGGACTCCTCAGACTGCGACGACGTCTCCGAGCTCCCTTCGGATGGAGGGCCCTTGTAGGAAGAGTGGTAGACTTCGCCCATGTTAGAAAAGTCTCTCTGGTTCGTAAAGGGCTTCCTTCCTTTTATGTCTCCATTGGCGACAGGATGCAATGGGTCCGCCGGCTTTATGGTCTCAATTTTGTCTGTTTTGTACTTGCAGCGTTTCTTCTACAACAGGAGTAAAAGAAGGGCAGGGATCAGACCTCCCACAGGTAGCTACCTCGTCAACCGTCTAGAGAGTCTGAGCTCATGGAGGAGAAGAGCCACCTCCTGGTGAAAAGTAGAACGGTGTTCTGCTCTGCGAGGCACCATCCTCCCTCCTTGTTCGGAAAATGCCGCTCAGGGAACACGCTCACCGGCCGCTCACCGCCCCCCGAATTCCTAGGGTGCACCCAACAGGACGCCGGGTGCCCTCAGGAGCACCTTACTCACCAGCCCGACAGGCGAGGGCCGTTCCCTGGCTGTGGGTCCCTGCCCGAGGCACGGCCCAGGGGGTGGCCAGGCTGCGGCTGAACCCCAGCCGGTGGCTCCAAAGGCCGTGTCCTCTCACCCACCGTCGCCTCCAACCAAAAAGCCACCGCTCCCTTGGAGAGGCCAACGGGGAAACGCACAGGCTTGGGAGCCCGAAGAGCCGGAGCGCATTCGGAGTTCCGCCACCTGCTGACGGGCCACGCACAGGAGACAGAAGCTCGGAGGCCTCGCCTCACCAGCAGCCGAGGGGCTTGGGGCGGGGGTCGCGGGCTGGTGCCCACGCTGTGCCCGGCGCGCGCGGACACTCCCTGTCAGCAGCAAGCTTTCCACACAGGAACCATTTCAGGTGTCGCAGGTCACAAACCTGCATTTTTTTTTTTTAATTTTACAACCATTTAAAAATGGCCCCAGATTTATACAAGACATGTCACAGGCCAGATATGGCTTATGGATCATAGTCTGCTCACCCCTTGTAAACATTTCTTTATATCTTTACCACGACTGAATAGAACAGTATGTTTAAGGACCACTTAAAGGTTACATTAAACCTTTCATCCTACTTCTTCATCTACTACCGCATATCCCACCAAGGCACTTAAAGAGAAACAAAACATTACCTTTTTTTCTGGAGAGAACTTGAGGGGCTCTACAATGTACAAAGCATTCGGATCTACTGTAAGTAAGAAAAAATAAAAAGCAGATGTAAAATAGATTATGCTATGATTAAACACAACAAAAATATTACATTATCCCTAAGGGAATTTTCCTAACATAAGCAACAAATTTATATTTATACCAGGTTAATGATATACTTATGCATTTTAAACCAGCAGGCCAAGGGCAACAAGTGGGAGATGGTTGGTTTGGGGCTTGACGGTCCCCTTCCAGCACCTCCCCTAGGTGTCCGCTGCTGCTGGCCACGGGCCGTCACAGTCAGGACGCTGCCCTGGCCAGCCGGCCCTCTTACCTGAGAAAATGACACGGGCAGTAAGCTAGAGCGCCCCCTACAGACCATCTGCACACATTCCTGAACGACGAAACTCCCCTCCGGGCCGCCATGTGGGCTGACACTGTGCAACCAGCGGCGGTGCCCACGTAGGAAAGTCAGGGGAACGCAGACACACACACAGATCGAAGAAGTTTTTTCTAATTGTTTATTACAATGATTTACTAAAGTCAAAACTATGAACCCCAACCTAAAAATAGCTTGAACATGCAATAGAAATGACCAAACAATAACTGAACACTTCTGGCGTGGTGAGTAAATTAGAAGTATTAGTTCTAGGTTTCTAAACTTTCATTACTTTAAGCACATTCAAGATGGCCCTACGCCTCGCACACTGACACGCGCACGAGCACACGCACGCGCACGCACGGCCACGCCGTCAGTCCTGCTGAAACGATGAGGGTGAATGCTCTGTGGCCTGACAGAGGAAGAAGTTTCTAACTAGAAAATTCACTCCAAAATGTCAGATGCCAGAAATGTATTAATAACATGATTCAACCAATTATATTTTACATTATATTCTAGAAATTTGTTGAGAGTCAACAGATATATAAAAATATCCAACCATTACTCCAAATAGTCATTTCTATTAGATTGCTAATCTCACTCAAATTGTTTTTTTTTTAAACATTATGTCTGCTTTTGGAATGGAGTCAGAGTTATTCAGATCAACCTCTGCAATGAAAGCACTACATATGATGGAATTTTTTTAATTACTATAAAAGCACTCAAAAGCTGCCAAGATAAGTAAGTAATCCCCAGGCTAAAACTGAAGAAAAAGTAGGAACCCAAAAACTCAAGTGGACCCTGAAAGTCATTTTCGTCCTAAGAGCGCCTGTCGCTGCAAGAGTCTGCGCACCTGAGCTCTGACGGCACCGTGAGGGGACAGGCCAGCGGGCAAACCTCGGGGCCCATGCCCAGCAGCAGCGTGCGGGCCTCCCCTCCTGCTGCCCAGAGGAGCTGGTGCTCCAGAGGCCGAGGCCCTCAGGGAAAGGAGGAGCCTGTGCAGGGACCGCCCTCTGATTTCCTGTCGCCTGGGGGCCCAGCAGACCTCAGCCAGCTCCCCAAGCCCCAAGGGTGGCGTTTTCCTGAATGAAAAGCAAACGCAAATTCTCTCTAGAGTAAGGACCTACATTTTAGCCCTCCAACTGTCCCTACCAGTCAGTTTTCCAGAGGACTAGCAGAAAGATAACCACACACACAAAGCTACAAAGCGCCTTGAGCATGAGTCTGCAAAAACAATTAATGAAGAGATTAAAAAAATAATTTAAGATACTGAATTATCAAACACACTATAAGTACAAGTACACTTACTATATTTAAATTTAAAAAGCTTGAAAATATCTTCAAGAAACATAAAACAAAAGGGCCTGTAAGTTTTAAAAAATACTAAAAACTCCTAGAAATGGAAAATAACTGAAATTTAAAAGTCAACAAATGAATTTAATAGAAGACTACAGACAGCCAAAGAATGCATGGCCTGGAAAGCAGATCAGAAGAAATCATCCAAAATATAGCACAGAAAAACAAACAAAAAGATGGGGAATAAGACAAAGGGGATACAGAGGGAAAAACTAACACATTTAATTAAATGGAGGTTCTAAAAACGAATGAGGCAGAGGTAGTTTTTTAGAGAAATAAAAAATAGCTAAGAATTTCCCAATATGCTAAGAGGTAGCAATTTAGAGATTCAAAGAGCCCAACAAATTTAACCAGGAATTTAAAAAGATGTGCCTGTATTCACAGAAAATCCAAAGTAACCTACAAATGACTGAACGGCATTAATAAAGATGCTCAACCTTATTAGTAACCAGGTAAATGCAAATCACAACTGCAATGAGGTTAACATGCACTCTAAGACTTGACAGTTCTAAGTGTGTGTTGGCAAGAACATAGAATGGAAATTCTCACAGTACCGGTGGCAGCATAAACTGTTGTGACATTTTATAACAAACAAAGTTTGCCATTACCCTGTACTCCCTACAGCCTAGCAACTTCACATCCTGGTAAGATTCCTAGAGACACGCATGCAGCTACGTTCCAGGGTACAAAGGCATGTTTACAGCAGCACAAAAATGGGTAAACACATTGTGATTTGGTCAGTTCCTGAAATACTACATAATTTTGAAGATGCAATGCAAACACATATGTGGCTCTCGCAACTAGAACGCTGAAGGGAAGAAGACAGAACACATACAGGGGCGGGCAAAGTAGGGTCACGGTTGTGAGCAGGTGAAACACAGAGTTTATTCTTATACTATTATTCCTGTATTTTATTTTTTCCATGCGAAAAAATGGTATGATTCCATTTATCAAGAGCTCAAAACCAGGCAAGGCTCAAATTATTTTGTTGAGGAATCCAAACACTGATGGTCAAACTATTACAAAAATAAAATATGTGATAATTTAAAAAGTCAAGACAGCCCCCTGTGGGAGGAGCAACGCCAAGAGAGCGGGCCTTGTGCTACTTCCTGATCTGGGTGTTAGCAACACAGGTACTCACTTCATAATTACTTGACAAGTTGTATATTTTAGTTTTATGAGCTTTTGAAATAGATCAGTTATATTTCACAATAAAATGTTACAAAAATCAAAATAATTTTGGTCTACTTGGCTAGTCAACACAAGTGACAGAATTGCTAATTAAAGTATAAACTTGAAGAGGAGAGACACTAAGAATGCTTATAATAAATAATTTAATTTGCAACATGGATCATCTAAGTCTAGTTATTACACAGCTTTCAATGCTTAACAAGACAAGAAATATGTAGTTTGCCAATTCTGCATTAATATGTATCAACTTTGAACAAAGTACTAATCATAATATAAAAAAGACCTGGGACATCACAGCCAATACCACAGAAATAAAAAAGATTTTAAGAGACTAATAACAACAATTGCATGCCAACAAACTGGAAACTTAGAAGAAATGGATAAATTCCTAGAAGCATGCACTTACTTAAGACTGAGTCATTAACAAATAAAAAATGTGAACAGATCAACAACAATGAAGGAGACCGAATTAGTAATCAAAAACCTCCCAACAAACAAAAGCTCAGAACCAGATGGCTCCACTAGAGAATCCCACGGAACATTTAGAAAATGAACACCAGTCCTCCTGAAATGCTTCCAAAAGTTTGAAGAGAAGGAAACACTTCTAAGCTCATTCTATGAGGCCAAGCATTACCATGATGCTAAGGCCAGAAAGGCCAGACAAAGGCACAAGAAAACGAGAGAACAGTATCCCTGATGAACACCGATACAAAAATCCTCAACATATTATTACAAACTGAATTTGACAGCACATTACAAAGATTATATAGTCTGACCAAGTAAATTTATTCCTGCAATACAAGGTAGTTCAACATATAAAAACCAATCAACACAGTACCACTTATGGACTAAAGAACAAAATCCAGATGATCATCTCAACTGATCCAGAAAAAACATCTGACAAGACTCAACATCCTTTCAATAAGAAAATACTCAATAAAATGTTGAAGGTCATTTATGAAAAGCCCAAAGCTAACATAATACTCGATGATGCAGGGCTGAAAGTTTTTCCTCGAAGGGCAGAAACAAGGCAAGGATGCCCACTTTCATCATTTCTATTCAATGTAATATAGAAAGCCTTGCCAGAGCAATAAAGCAAGAAAAGGAAACAGAAATTGGAAAAAAGGAAGTAAAATGATCTCTGTTCAAAGATGACATCTTATATGTAGAATACCCTAAAAATTCTACAAAAAACTATTAGAACTAATAAATGAATTCAGCACAAAGGTGCAGGATACAAAATCAACACACAAAAATCAGTTCCGTTTCTACATAGTAACTAACAATGAACAATCCAAAAAGGAAATTAAGACTCATACACTAAAATCTTAAAACATTAATGAAATATTCATGACTAGAAGACTTAATATTGCTAAGATGTCCAAACTACCAAAACAATTTATGGATTCGGCATAATCCCTAACCAAAAATCCCGAAACAGCACTTTTTGCCAAATTAGAAAAATGCACCCTAAAATTCATATTGAATCACAAGAGAGCTAAAAGAGACAAAAAAATTTTGAAAAACAGGAATAAGGTAAGAGGACTCACACTTCCTGATTTCAAAACATTATAAGCTATAGTAATCAAAACAGTCTGGTTCTAGCGTAACGACAGACAAATAGACAAATTAATTTTTAAAAAAGACCAGAAATAAACCTTCACATGTATGGTCAAATAATCTTCAACAAGGGTGCCAAGACCACTCACTGGGGAAAGAACAATCTCTTCAACAAACGGTGCTGGGAAAGCTGCAGATCCACATGTGAAAGAATGATACCTGACCCCCTACCTCACACCGCAGTAACTGAAAACAGATAAAGATCTAAACACATGACCTAAAACTATGACTTTCTAGAAGAAAACACAGGGGAAAAACTTCATGACACTGGACTTGGCAATGATTTCTTGAACATGACATCTAAAGTACAGGAAGCAAAACCAAAAACAGACAAATGAGACTGTCAAACTTAACAACTTCTATCAAGGAACACAATCAACAGAGTCAAAAGGCAACCTATGAAATGGGAAAATATACTTGCAAATCATATATATTGGTAAGGGGTTAATATCCAGAATATATAAAGAACTCCTACAACTAAACCACCAAAAAAACTCCCCCACAAATAACCCAGTTAAAAAATGGTCAAAGGGCTTGGATACGATTTACAAATGGCCAACAACGCATGAAAAGATGCTCAGCATCATTCCTCATCAGAGGACGGCAAATCTACATCACAATATATCACCTGACACCCATCAGGAAGGTTATTTAAAAAAAAACAAAAACCCAGAAAACAAATGATGAGAATATGAAGAAAACTGAAACCACTGTACACTGTTGGTAGGACTATAAAATGGTGCAACCAGTACGGAAAACAATATAAAAGCTCCTCTAAAAGTAGAACTACCATCTGATCCTGCAATCCCACTTCTGGGAATATGTCCAGAAGAACTGCGAGCAGGGTCTTGAAGAGATAACGTGCACACTCACGCTCACATCATCCACAGCCACAACAGCCGAGGAGTGGCAGCAACCCAAATGCCCATTAACACATGAATAAACAAAATATGGTAGATACGTAAAATGGAGTGTTATTCAGTCTTAAACAGGAAGAAAATCCTGTCACATGCTATGACATGAATGAACTTTGAGGACACTGTGCTAAATGAAACAACCCAGTCACAGAAAAACAAATACCACAGAAGCCCACTTACATGAGAGGGAGCTAAAGTAGTCAAGTTCATAGGAACGAGAAATGGTGACCAGGGCCTGGATGAAGGGGAAACTGGGAGCTGTGTTATGTACGGAAAATTTTAGATTCACATAATGAAAAAGTTCTGGAGATATGTTTCAATTAAAAATTTCAGTTGGAAATAGACATAGCAAAGAAAAGGAAAAAAAGGAGAAAAAAGGCAGGAAAGAGGAAGAGATTTACTAGTCCTCTGGAAACACACATGTAATGGGTTAAGTCTGTAAAGCTTTGTGGTAACAGCAAACCAGTAAAGCACAGGAATGATTATGTGAATGATTTAATCATTTGAAATATGTTGCTTAGTTAACTAAATCCTAAAGAAAGAGAAGCCAATAATTAAGAAAGCACTCCTAACTGCAATACATAATTAGTTTGGTTATTTAATACTGCTATGAGGATAAGTCTCTTAATAAGCACTAATTCAAGCACTACTTATAAAAGTACTGAGGTAGGAAAACAGCCACTCAGTACCATCCATTCACTGAAATTCAAGTACTCGTTAAGTGTCAGCCAATGGAAAGCTATTACAGACTGTGGGCTTAAAAAAAAAAAAAAGACCAGACTTTTTTTCAGAAATGCTTCACAGTCCTAATCTAGAGGCAAAAGGAGTCCTACCTGTACAGGAAGAGGAAGCAGATAAGCACAGGATGCTATGGAAGACATTCGGGTTTTCCATATCTGGTGAACTGTCTCAAGCATCCCTTTCTAAAAAGAAATACTTCTAAACAGGAGCTCGGCAAAGAAAGCTACCAACGGCTCACTGAATCCAGCCCCTCCCCACCCTCTGGGCTTTCAGGAACAGACATAGATTCAAAGCGTGAACACAGTACAGCCGCTTTGCCTATACCCCTTATTTATTGTAGGTGGCCTCTACCACCACACTGATGTTATACTTAGGCCACAAGTAAGCTCGATCCATGTTTATAAATACACACACAAATGACACACCCACAAAAAAATCTACCTTCTTTTCCAGTTAACTGCAGAGACTTGGATCTGATGAGTGGGAATGAAGTTCTCCTTTTCAAGTTCATATCATCATAGGAAGAAAAACACCTAACACATTAAGAAAAATCAACATTGGACACAACGAATAAAACTACATAAGAATTTACTCCATAGCTGGCGCTAGATGGAAGCTACTACGAACTGTACATTAGGAATAATCCCTAAGGTAATGCGCTCCAGGTATTGCTAGTATGTGTTAAACAAAATTTAAAGATCACTCTCTAAAAAGTGCAATATTAAGTCCAGGCTGGGTAACTTAGTTCATTAGGGCACTGTCCCAACATGCCAAGGTTACGGGTTCAATCCCCAATTGGGGCACACGTAAGGCTCAGTCAATGAACATATAGATAAATCTCTATCTATATAAATCAATAAGTAAAAAAATTTTTAATTAAAAAAATAAAAAGTGCAATATTAAGATACCTATTTTCCTCCCCTCTTTGAATTCCACATTCAAATCTTTCACAAGCAAAACATTTCAACGGCTTTTATGCATTTCCTACGATATAATATTTTCTCTGTTACAGTCCACAGAACCTTCCAGGCATAGAATCATCTCATTAGTTCTAATGATGTTTTTAACACTTTGGTTTCAAGATAATCATATGAAAAAGCAAATGATCTCCATATCCCTTTATTTGCCCCAATTTGTGAAAAATATTAAAAAGATTTAAAAAACTGAAATATAATGCAGACAATTACCTTTTAGGGCTTGGATACGGATTACTTTGAGGAAGTCTTGAAATGTAATCTCCATCAAACTGAGAGGTGTTTCGACAACGCTGCATGCAAAGCATCAGTCCCAAGACAACACAGAGAACCAAAGATATGACGAGATAGCTCTGTCGATCTGAAACCTCAAGTGAGATGAGGGAAAAATAATAATACTTTAAAAATTATACTAGGAAAAATATAGGGAGATTTAAAATTCAAAGGACAAATCCCTTTAAACGCATTTTAATGTGCTTCAAAACCACAAAGGTAAGTAGGGCATGCGCTCCGAAAATGTACCACCAAGATAATGTTTTAACATTCCTTCTTTTTACCCCCAATTCACTGAAATTTTCTAAGCTATGAAAGGTTTTAAAAATAGCATCTGAACGCGCGTGTGCCTCTCAGCAGGCTCACCAAGCGCTGCCGTCCCGTCCCACGGGCCCTGCCTCCGTCTGCGCCGCCCCCTCCGCGGGGAGAAGGCGCGCGCTCGCACGCATCTTACACACCCGAACCGCTGACCGCCCCGTCATTTAGGCCAAAGTCCTGAGGGTCTTCCTTAACTCCTTACCCCGCACGCCCAACCTTTCAGCAAGCCTTGTCTTCCTCCTCATAAACACCGCCTGAATCCAACAACTGCCCTCTGTCCCCCACGCCTAAAACCCTGCTCCAAGCCCACACCCGTCCCCGGGCTCCTGCCGCCGCCTCCGGAGGCTCCCCTCCTCCTGCTCCACCTGTTCCCCGAGAGCCAATCTGCCCGAGCAACGAAAGGGGACTTTCTCAAAGTGCTGTCAAAGAGATGATCCATGTCACTTCTTTCCGTGACACGTGCCCATGACTTGTAATGTTAGAGCAGAATTCAAACTCTGAGTCGCCCAGAGGCCTACATGGCCGGGCTCCTGCAGACACCCTGAACTCACGTCTTCCCCCGCTTCCCCACTCACTCCGCTCCAGGCACACGAGCTTGCTTTCTGCACTTGGCCAATGACTACGGTTCCTAATCGCGGGTCCCTGCCCTAGTCCGCCCAGTGACAGGTTTGTTCTGGGCCTAGGCTCTGGGTGGCTGCTGACTGCTCCCGAGCGCTCAGCTCTAATGCCACCTCCTCGGATAAGCCCTCCCCCATCTCTCTGGCTAAAGCAGCACCCCGACAGCCACCGCTGCGCACAGCCACGTCTCCTTTCCTGTGCCCCTGTCCTTCCCACATCCACTCTCTGCATCCCCTCCCCCGGAGAGACGGCCCTGCGAGGCCAGGGACTGCCCCCTGCTGTAGGTCCCACGGTGGGGCCGCCCATGCACGGGCCGCTCAGTAAATACTTAGTACCGCGCTGACATTTTTGCTTTGTTAGGCAACTTAAAGCCTTTGGAACTGAAAACGAAGAGTGTGTTCCAACTATCAATGGTTTGCAAAAGGCCTAAAAGAATGGTTTTATAACTAACTGTGTTTTAGGTAAGACGTAAACGATGAAAGCCATGTTTTCCAAAAGACTGTAATTACTTCCAAAACCTTAAACCTCCACATTCTGGCTTTCTGAAAAGTTCCCCATAACTGACAATTTCATTTAAAGCTCTTAAATACCACGTTCTTGGCGAGCCAGCTTTTATGACAACGTCTAGACGTGCGCTGTCTCGGAACCCCAGTAGTAACAATTACCTCGCGTTTTAACTCCGCTACTGTTGCCGACAGGTTTGAGACCAGCTGCGTCACGTTGGCCAGTTGTGCCTGCAGCAGCTGGATGGACTCAGTCTGCCGCTGATCCTACGATAAGGGGAGAAATAAGCATCGTTTTTCTTTGCTGTAAGTCCAAGTAAGATAATCTGGAAAAACTATTAAGTTCCTCAGGGGAGGGGGAGGTATTAATAAGGAAAACTCCTAATGAATAAATATTGTAAACTCCTAACAGAACTTTAAAAAAAAAAAAAACTGCTGCAAGAATCTAAGGCTGTTCACACTTCCTCCCCTGCCCTGCCCCAAAACCATTTTGCCATCGTTACCATGTAGAATTCTAACAGAAGTTAATAAATTACTTTTCAAGTTAATATGAGTTCCATATGTATAAACCACCATATAACCAGCTACATGCAAAATTGTTACTGTGTCAAATACGTGTTTTTAAACCGAAGCAGCTGGCACAGAGACATGTGGAAAAAATTTTGAAGAATAGTTTTGGATACACAGCAGGCTCACACCAAGGTTCAAAAGTTCTATTTTACATTAGGATGGAATTTAAGATGCTACTAAGTCAAAAAACCTACTTCTGGTTATCCAGTCAATGCTAGAATATCACCAGTGCAAAGAAATTTGTTAGAACACTCATCTTTTCAGCTCTAAATTTTAGAAACTTTAATTATCAACAAACATACCTTTATTCAAAATATGCATACATATTTTAGGGAAATATGCATCACGCTCATAGCTATAACTCTATATTAGGTAGACTGTACTGAAAGTTTCAGATTAGTGAATTCAGGGAGGAGGAAGAGAAGGCAGGAAGATGTTAAGGGAGTCCAACGCTCTAATTCGGGACCCTCTACAGAAAAGCTACATAACCAATCTAGACCTAAGTTGTTCAAGTTTAGACATAAGTAAGTTTTAAGTCTCAACTGTGTGTGTGTGTATGACGCTGGGGGTAGGAGGGTATAGAAACTGTAAGAAAAGTTTCACCTACTCCCTCGCTGTGCCCCACCGTGGGACTCTCTGTCTACCCTACTTCATCTTTTTAAAATGCTGAACATACTCAAATTATTTCTTTTTACTGACATTTTTGACAAACACTGATAAATTCTACACAGTTATAAACACTGAAAGTACTTCAGTTAAATTTACTATTGAATACTATTTAATACTAAAAACACTATTAAATTTAATAAATCCATTAACACTTCCAATCAAGATTTACTTCCAATAGTGTTAATAATACTCAAGATTATTTCAAAGTACTTCAACAACTCTTTCAGACATAAGGCAAAGAGAAAATACCGAAGGCAAATCATTGTATTAAAATTAATGAAAAATGAAATAAACATTGCATTCATGGGTCAGGAGACTTAATACTGTTAAGATGGCAATTCTCCAAATTAATCTATTGAAATAATCCTAATTAAGATCCAACAGGTTTTCTTTTTAAGATAGAAAGTGACAAGCTCATTCTAAAATCCAGATTAGAGAAAAAAATTCCGGAAAAGGACAAAGCTGGAGGAGTCACACGACCTGAGCTCCAGGGCCCCTGTCGAGCGACCGTGATCACAGCAATGAGGTGTCAGCGTAAAGACACACAAATAACAAAAACACGCAAAACCAGACCCATAAATAAATACGTATGTGTGTGTGTATATATAAAAATGGAAATGAAGGAAGGATAATCTTCAACAAATTATGTCGGAACGAAGGCATATTCATGCCTCTCATTTCTCCCCCCCAAAGAAGCCTGACCCATGCCTTGCAACACACAAACATCCGAATGCAGCCAGGAACCCAGTGCGACCTCCAGGGACCGGGCGACCGCCTCGCCAGTCCTGCTGCCTCGCTGTGCAGCTCTGGGCGGGAAACGAAGGGCGAGGGAGAAACAGAAAGGTCCTGGGGTTAAAAAGGAGACGCAGGCTTAGTCTTACTTGGAATCAGTAAGAATGTCGACATGACCCCAAGGGATTTTCGGGTTTAACAAAGTTGCGCAAAAGTCCACTGCACTTCTGCACACTCACGTAAGTATCTTGAAACGTAATAGGAATAATGCTCAAGAAAGTTTTCTCTAGAGGAAATATTAATGCAAATAGCCAGATTAACTTTCTAAACATGACATTAACAGGTTTAATCATAAGCCATCACGGGAAAAAGAACACCAACGTTACTCATCCTTCTCACTAGCGAGAGCCTACAAAATTCAAAGGAAGTTAATAGGAAAAGAAATCACAGCAGGAGAACGACCAACCTGCTTCTCTGCTATTCTTGAAGTGTTCTGAAGCTTTACTATTGTTTTATTGAAAGCCTTTTGCATTTCTTCCATTTGTTTTCGGTACCTGTGGAGTAAGAGTTGATTTAAATTAGCTTTAATTTCTTATTAATTTATTACTGGAAACACATTTCTGATTTCAATATGTGAGACAAATCCATTTTTCTAAACATGCCCCTTACTGCGGCCTGTGCCACACAGGCCCACTTACGTAAGTAAAACACAGGTCGCTGGAGGTCGGCCACCTCAGCATCAGATCTACGTGTCTCGGTGCGACGTGAGATGTATTAGTTGCACACGCCCAAATGATTTACCACAAAGGAGCCAAAAATAGACAATGGGGAAAGGACAGTCTTTTCTATAAATGCAGTTGGAAAAATCAGCCGCATGCAGAAGACTAAAACTGGACCACTATCTTACACTATACACAAAAATTAACTCGACAGGAATTAAAAACCTGAATGTATGACCTGAAACCATAAAACTCCTAGAAGAAAACATAAACAGTAAGCTCCGTGACACTGGTCTTCATGATGGATTTTTTGATATGACAAAATGCCCAGGCAACAAAAGCAAAAGTAAACAAGTGAAACGATATTAAACTAAAAAACATCTGCACAGCAAAGGAAATCATCCACAAAATGAAAAGGCAACCTATGGAATGGGAGGAAATAGTTGCAATTCATTACCCCTGACAAGGGGTTAACATCTAAAATGTATAAAGAATGCACATAACTCAACAGCAGAAAAACCCCAAACCACCTGATCTTTAAAATGGGCAGAGGGTCTGAGCAGACATTCTCGCAAGGATGACATACAGGGGGCCAGCGGGCACGTGACAAGCGCTCAACTTCACTAACCATCAGAGAAATGCAAACCAAAATCACCATGTCATCACCTCATACCTGTCAGAACGGCAATTATCAAAAAGCCAAGAAATAGTACACGTTGGTAAGGATGTGAAGAAAAAGAAGTACGCTGTTGGTCAGAGTGTAAATTGGTGCACTTACTATGAAAAAAGGTGCAGGGCTTCTTCGGCAAAGTAAAAATAACACTACAATATGACCCAGCAATTCCACCTCTGGGTATTTAGTCAAAGAAAGTGAAAACACTGACTCAGAAAGATACATGCACCCCCCGCACACACACAGCGTTAGTAACAACAGCCAAGACATGGAAGCAACCTTAGTGTCCGCTGATGGATAAATGGGTAAAGAAAATATCACACACACGCGCGTGCGTGCATGCGCATGAGTATTATTCAGCCATATAAAGGAGAAAATCTAGCCATTTGGGACAACATGGGTGGACCTCAAGGGCATTATGCTGAGTGAAATAAGACAGAAAGACAAATGCTGTGCAACCTCACTTATGCATGGAATACAAATAAAGAAAAACTGAAGGAAAAAACCCCAAACTCTTTGATACAGAGAACAGGTTAGTGGCTGTCAGAGGCACGGGTTAAGGGGTGGGCAAAATGGGTAAAGTGAGACAAAAGGCACCAATTGCCAGGCATGAAATGAGTAAATCCTGGGGACGTGATGCACAGCAGGGTGACTACAGTTAGTAACATTGCACAGTATATTTGGAAGCTGTTAAGAGCATAGATCTTAAAAGTTCTCGTCACAAGGCAAAAACAGCTTGTAACTGTGTGGCAATGGACGTTAGACTTACGGTGTGAATCACTTTGCAATACAGACAAATATTGAATCACTGTGTTGCACACCTGAAACTAACATATTACGTCTATGATCTCAATTTAAAACAAGGTCAGTGACTATTGCAGTTTCCTTTGGGGGGCTGGGAGGGGGCAGGGTGCGGCAGGAGCTGGTACACAGCAGCTAAGTAGGCACGCACATACACGCAGCGGGCCAGTAAATTATATGTATGGGTTAGGAATAAACCCCCCTTAGCATACAATGGCTACCTTGGTGACATCTCATTAGGAGCATTTTGATTTAAGAAGAGCTGAAAAAAGAAGTGTATCAGAAACTCTGGACACTCAGTGCCTGGGCAGTTACAACGTGTCGGAGGAGACGCCCTCAGGACAGGGGACACCTCGGGTACAGGAGTGGAGACGCTGAACCGCAGGGAGAACCACACCTGGGGCCTTAGTCGCTACGGGGCACCCTCACACTGCCTCTGGCGCCCGTGACAACAGCTGGGACTAGGGTCCCGGGGGCTGCTGAAGGAGCGCCCGTGCTGCCTAATCGCCCAGTTCAGTCCACTCCAGTCTCCACTTAAATTTGCCAATGGTATCTTGTCAAGCTCCACTAAGAGCTTTACGGTCTGTAAGACTGTAATTTTTCCCATGAGTGTTCTGGGAATTGAAGCGTAAAGATGGCTAAAGTTAAGCAACAGAAGAAAGGAGGAACTGATTATAGATAATTCAAACTTAACCTAATAATAAGGGTGTTACTTCACTTAGTACTACCAAGAAAGAAAAGAAATCTTTAAGTCATTGATCAGTATCGAAGTAACTCTGTCTCGCCAGCTAGGACGGACCTGCGTACTACTACTGTGCACCGTGACTCGCCGTGCAAAGCGGACTGTGCTCATCCATCCTAAAGCTTACCTTTGGCTAAGTTCCTCCAAATAGCGCCCACTGAGAGACATGTTAACTTCTAAGGCTTTAATACGATTATTAAGTCTCATAAACACTGACTCCTTTTGGTTCGATCCATGTACAAGATTCCCGTTAGCATATCCTAGATCTGTAGAATTTTGCAACTCAGCATAAAAATCCGTAGCTGTCCTCTGCAAGCCCCTTAAAAGGGCATCCTCCGGGGACTGCTCCTCCTCTTTCGCTTCAGGGAGCGAGGCAGGATCCACAGCAGGGGTCAGCACTGGCTTTGGTGCATCGGCTCTGCTTGTTTTGGTTTCCCCATCTTCTCTGTTTGGCACAGCAGCTGTGTTTACAGGTGGCACTACTGTTTCCGAGAGCTTTGTGATAATTTGCGTGGAGTCTGTGTTGTCTTTTACAGTACTATCCATTACTTCACTCAGTTTAGTTTCAGAGACCACAGATGGCTTCTCTACAGAACCCAAACTCTCAGACTTCTTTTCCGTTTCATTACCAGCCTCAACAGAACTCTCCTGCGGAATCACTTGTGATGGTGTGTGTCCTGCCTCGTATTTAATAGGCTCAGATACTTCCATTTTAGATACTGAACTGATTTCTGGAGTCACTTCCAAGGGAAGAGACTGAGAAAGAGTTTGAGGATGGCTTGGTTCAAGTTCAATTACATCTAGAGTGTGATTCATCAAGTCACCTTGGTGTGCGCTACTTAGGTCGCCTAGAACAACGGTTTCAGCTTCCTTCTCCTTGCTCTTGCTGTCCGCTTCTCCACATGGAGGCTGCGCTGACACAGGTACTGATTCTGCAGGAAGCAGTAGTGGTGGATGAGCGGACACAAGGTAACCTTTTTCCTTATTCACAGCAGTTCTGCTGCGTTGGCGATAGAAAGCAGCTCTAACTGAACACCATTTATATATGTATTCTGAAAAACTAGAAATACAACAAATTGTGGTCAGTTCACTGCAAAATATTTGTGTCTCTGACTCAAACCAGGGTGACGATTCATCCTCCTGTTCTCCGCTACCCAGAAGAGTCACTGTAGATGGACTCGCCTCCTCGTCGTCCTCCTGAACTAGCTGGACAATGGGGCTTTCTTTGGGAGTATCTGGTGACGATGGCTCTGTGTCGTGCGCCTGTTCTTCAGTGGCCACAAACCTAGAAATACATATCATAATCACAAATCACTTTAATTAGAAACCTTAAAGTTATGTTTAAGGAAAACGTATCATGCGTAAGACAAAAGAAAGGCTAGAAACACAGATGAAATTCAAATATTTTTTTGGACTCTTTCCTTGTGAAATAGTTTTCATGATAAAACCAAATACTATTCAGAAATGGTATCAGAAAGACCATTCACCAAGTGACCAGATGACTCAAATCATCACACTGACCAAACCAACCTTGCTTTCTTAATCTCTGCTTCAGGGCTGCCTGAATACAGGCACTGCTCCCATTTACTGAGTATGCTGTGGGCCTTCCTTCCCATACATAGTCACCAAATCTTTATAAGCCTCATTACTGCTTATATTAGAAGCTGAGCTCTACCCAAGGGCGGTGAAGTCTCAGAGCAGAAACTAGAAGCCAGGGTCCTTAATACTTATGAATGCATGCTGTGTCTGAGTACCCTCCTCCCAAAAGGTCGCTAGTTTCTCACAGATAATTTTTCTGTGGATTTGTGACACCACACACATGCACACACAATTATCTGCTTTAGGGAAAAGCAGCAGATCCCCGTTCCTCCCCAAGATCATCTTAATGTCATCTGGGCTAATGTTCTATTATTTAAAACCGAAAATCTTAACCACTTTTATGAAAATCCTAGCTAATAATAAACTGATGGTTCCACTCCCTCAGTCCCATCTTTGCGCTCTGGAGTATGTGCGGAGGGTAGGGGAGAGTGGGAGATAAAGCGAGTGAAACAGTGTTGTAAATTATGATGTCTATGGTTCCTTCCATAAAGAGAATACATTTCTGGGTGTGGCCCTTACAAAACGTATAAAGCCTTCATATACAAATTTTCCTACTCTGAAACATTACTAAGAATGGCAGAAAATGTCTTCTCGTGAGGAGTTACATCATAATAGTAAAGGTAGGAAGAGGACAAACAATATCTAAAAAGTTATACTTTCGGCCCTGGCCAGGAAACTCAGTTGGTTAGAGCACCATCCTGACACACCAAGGTCACAGGTTCAATTCCCGGTCAGGGCACATACAAGAATCAACCAGCGAATGCATTAAATGGAACAACAAATCGATGTTTCTCTCCCACACTTCTTCTCTCTCGAAATCACTCCCTCTCCCTTCCTCTCTCTCTAAAATTGGTAACAATTTAATTTGGTAAAAATTAATTTATATACCATCTGTGAATACTCTAATCAGTTTCATTTTTAAAAAACTCAAACCTGGGAAAAGAAAAGTCACCTTTTCATAATAACTGTAAAACAGTGACACCCTATCATGAGTTCTTTTATTTCTTTTCTTCAGGTGACTGTCATAGAATCATCAACAAAATTTAAGACAAACATACACGAAGAAACATTAGGTAAAAAAAAACAGTTATGCAAAGATATGTGTTAAAAATCAAACTAATATATGTCACAGTACCCTGATCTTCTAACACTCATGAATACAACGGGGTGAGTATGTATGTATGTGTAGGTATGTACATATGTAAAATGAAATCAGCTCCATTAAAAAATAAAACATACTATGTGTTGTTAACTGAAGAAGCCTCATTATAAAATCAGAAGCAGCAATCACAGGCCCACATTAACTAGAAACAAGAACATGTCTATCCCAAACAGATTTCTTAGTAGCTTCTAGGAATCAACGACACATAATGCTGTATTTTCTCTCTAATCACCCAGTACCTTTAGCCACTTTGAGATTGCAGAGCCATGGCCCTGGCTAATGTAGTTCAGTGGATTGAGCGCCAACCTGCTAACCAAAGGGCTGCCAGTTTGATTCCCAATCAGGGCACAGGCCTGGATTGAGGGTCAGGTTCCCAGTAGGGGGTACACAAGAGGCAACCGAACACTGATGTTTCTCTCCCTCTCTTTCTCCCTTCCCCTCTCTCTAAAAATAAATAAATAAATCTTTTAAAAAGAGATTTTTCTCTTAAAAAAATTAACAGAACAATATGAAATTTGTCACTGTGCCCTTCAAAGCACAAAAATCTCATTTTTGAATTGGTATGGTACTTCGGAGTTACAGCTTAAAGCATATCCACTGCATGCATCATTACATATACGCCTCTAACAGTTTCATGTTCCAATATTTTCTCTTAAGAGTTCTTCTACAGAAAAGGTCTTTCAAAGTTTTATGGGAGTATATCCAATGAAATACACACAAATTAAATTTATAATAACTATACCCAATTATCCAAGTCATTATGAGCTTATCTACTTTAGATAAGAAGTAGAGGTTTCAAATACCTTAACCATCTCTGGTAGAAAAGAACAACAATAACAACAACAAGAGCATTTTATATGTTACCTAGATACATACATCCCTGCCCACTGCAACCTGGAGAAGAACTACATCATCTGATTTGGGAAACTGAACCCTGTAAGAGTTTGCCATGTGACAAACACATATTTAAGAATCTGCCCTGGGCATTTCAGGCATCCTTTATAGCTTTCTGGGCAAAGCACAGATGCTTGGTCAATAATTTTCAATCTGAACCTAATAAAAACAGGCCTTTAAAATTTATCCTCGAACCTGTACTGTACAGTTACATCAGTGATTTACAATAAGGAAAAGATTCAGTACTGTGATTAACAAAAGTAATGCACAGTATCCAAGCCACAAACATTTGGCCTGGAGTGAGGTGTATCCGAGTACCCGAAAGCAACTGCGCCACGTCAGGGGCCGGGGAGCGGCCGCCCTGCGCCCTGGGGCTTTCTGCAGACAGCCGTCTGGCCGTCCCAGCACCTCGCTCTGCGCTAGTGGACGTAGCTCTCTCCATGTCAAGGGAACTCCAGAGACACAGTGAGACTTACTCAGGCGGAGGAACAGGAGTCGAAACAGGAGCGGACTGAGGCATTTTGGGTGCAGCTGTGGCAGTGGCATTCTCAGATACACTTTTATTTCCTGTTGTAAGAAAGATGCCCATGTTGAGTTTAATTTTTAAAAGCTATACCACGAAATATTTCACTACAACAAATAAAGAAGTTTAGTTTCTCAGGGGAGAAGTCAAATAGGTTTGCTACTGTAGACTGTTTATTTTCATCAACGTTCTTTCAGAAAGAAATGATCGTACAAGGTCAAAACTACAAGCAATGCGTATTCTTTCTCATCTCAGACAATTAAAGCAAGTCGGATGACTAAGACTTTTGTGTCATTTTACACGATTAGAATGCCTTCTAACACCTGAAAGAGTTTCTAGAGAGAATGAGAATAAACAGACTGTTGTAGTTTGTACTTGGAACTATGTTTTTTTTAAAGGCAAGGTTATTTCTCCTTGTTAATAATACTCTTATTGGCATTCTGTAAGGGGAAAAAATTGCTTTCTAAATTGAGTAGCTATTTGCTTTATAAAGCATACATGAAGTACCATTACTGCACCAAAACCTCAGGAAAGAGGTAAGGGATAAATTATTTTACTTCTATAGCAAGGAAGAGTCAAAAAACAAATTCATGAATTTTATACAGACAGGATCCTATTATAAAAGAGACCTTGTGCAACTGAATAAACAGTGAATAACAGAAGACTGGTAGGTTCCTTTGAATCACTTCATATTTCTAAATGCAAAATCAAATTGCTTGGCTTATTAATTAATTTTCCTAACTGGGAAGTCCCTGCAAGTAGCAGATATTTAAAAGAGCCATAAAATTATTCGGTACCTTCTGTCAGGTCTTCAGTTTTTGCTCCCAGAATATTAGCGGCAATATTCACCATATTTAGAATGGCATCTAAAACAAAATTCAATCAGAAAAAAAATACCAATCCACCTAAATATTCTCATATAACAATATCAGGTAATCAAAGAACTATTTAATGGTCTTTTTGCATTTTCTGGACTAATTACTTTTTTATTCACCTTACTATGTAAGTCCAATATAGGACACAAATTTCAGCCAACAAGTATAGAGTATAAATCTGAACTTTTACGTTCAGAAGGGATTAAAAACTAGAGTTGGTTTTTTGTTTTTTGGGTTTTTTGGGGTTTTTTTTAGAAAAAAAGGCTTCCTCAAACCTTTTACCAAAACAGTCTTCAGCCTTACAAAATTCAAGTATAATTCAACATTGACAGGGAAGAAATGTGACAACCAAAATTCATATTTTACAGAAAAGCCTGATTTTCTTTAAGAACATTCTACAGTTTAAAACAAAAACAAATAAGGCTGAAAAAAACAAATGTTTTCTAAACAGGTGATTATCACAGAAAAACAATTAAAGTGGGAAGATTATTATCCAAAGGGCAGCAGAAAGATTTTGTTATTTCAACTATAAACATATAATATATATCATAATATGATTAACCCCCAAACTGATAATGTATAGACTCAATTTACTTTGATAATTTTTAGTAATGATTTATGGATGATAAATCACACAAATTCTTTTGTGAATCGAGGTGTATGGGCACAGGCAGATAAATTAAAAGTCAAAGTCATAGAACCGCAAGTGCTGTAGGCAGGGCCACCTGCACACCTGCTAATTCTGCCCCTCTCCAAAGAGGGCATCGAGGGGCTGGGTCAAATGTTACGAACCTTCCTATCTATCTAAACAGCCGAAGGCACATGAGGAGCACAGAACAGCAGAACTCAAAAAAAGCTGGTGCTGGTGACAGCAGGCTTCCTTCCGAGTAATGTGATGTAACTTCAAGGGACACCAACCCCCGGCCCAATCCGCCCTCTGAAACCCCACTGGTCAGTTCATCAGTAGCCCGCATCTCTCCCATTCAAACACCAGGCTCTGGCACAGGCTACAGACTGCGCCTCCGCAGTTACTTCCGTCTTAGCCTCCTTTCCTAAGAGACCGCCAGGGTGTTCACCAGTCTCTCCGTGGAAACCACAGGTGTGAAGGCAGGAAAAACCTACGGAGGAAAAGCTAGCCCTTCCAGAAGGGTGGGAACTGTCGCCTGGAGCTGCCCCCGTAAACAGGTGCTTCGTGGTAGGAGTAAGGAAGTAGACCTTAGACTGCTTTAAAAGTCATAACCAGTAGACAGTTACTAACTTTGATCTTTACATAAACATAAGCCTACAATCTGAAAGACAACAAAGCAGCGGCACTTTGTTTCCAATCATCATTAGAATGACATACAAAAGCTGTATATTTGCTTTTTAAATGCCTAGGGCTATAGGTCAACCGTGCCTGTTGACCTGGCAAATCGGGAAACAGAGAAGTGGCCTGGGCTCTTGGGGCTAAGGCCTCAGCATGAGATTAAAAAGAGGAATGGAAACTGCATGTTTCCTCACACACCACAATGAAAGAGCAACGGAAACTCGTATTTCCTCACGAGCCCGCTTTCACGCGGGCCAGCACAGCAACAGCAGTGCCTGGCCTTCCCCTTGGCCTGCTGGCTAAAGCTCAGTCCGCCTGACTGCTCCACAGAATCCCAATTTTGGAACCAAGTCTATATTCTAAGTCTCTTGTGCTTCATAAAGCAACTGTCCCTCAGATTTCAAATTTGTGAGTATTTCTTATTAAAGAATTCCAGGGAAAAAAACAACATTTATTAATCTGTGCAAAGAAAGTAGCTTTAGAGTATTATATTTTAACCTAAGCTTTAATACTAGCACATACAACAGACAAGATTTATACTATCCATCATTTTAAAATACTATTTTTCATTATTTCAAGGGCCACTTAAGTAACAGAAGCAAAATTTAGCAAATTTCTATTTACTTTATCAGCCCATCTAACCTACAAGAAATAGTTTGCTATGTTCACAGAACACTGCCAAATGGCGTCTTTTATTTTGTCTTTTGAGAGAAAGCAGCTTTGTGAATATTCCACTCTGACCATTCTCAGTCTGCATCCAAACACGTAACAGCTTGCCATGTTGAAACCTGGCCACTAACAAGCCTTCAGTATAAGCAAAGATAGTTATTGGAGAGAGAGTCGTCCCTAATTTCTCCTAGATTAGCCAACCCCTTTATCTTTGAGTTGGGCGACTATGCATCCCATCTCATCCCTTTAAAACAGAAATTCTCCTCAGAAACAAATATCAATGTTATACTCAGTCTGCAGCATGCTGATGGCCCTTTTTGACACAGAAAACAAATGGCCTATGCTGCAAAGAGCAAGGCAGGCCAAGCAACAACTACTTCCTCCCGCGTGCCTCTGGCCACCTCTGCAGCGTGCCCTCCTTCACTCTTCCTTCTAGGATCTTAAAATATGCACACTCATAAAAAGGTACTTTTACTTACAACAAAAACTATATTTTGTCTTAAACATATACAGAAGCAGATCTGGCAATTCTAACAAAATACACCGTATTTGGGAGTCAACAGAGAATGGTCTGGAAAAATCCATGCAACCAAACTCAGGGAAAGCAGCAACATGAAAAATTCTTGCTGATGTAAAATACTTAAATGTTCTAGTCCAAGAATGTAATCAAAACAATCAGGTGGAAGAGTTGCCCGTCCTGCCATGCACACAAAGCCAAGAATGCTGCTCTAAGCAGTTTCTCCCTCTTCGGCACCAAGTAAAGTTTATAGCGAGGATTTCTAAAAGTGCGGGATGCGTGCTCTTTGACAACGAAGTCCCATTAGAAGCAACTACTCTGGTAGCTACTGCTTAAAAGCAAAAGGAAAAAAAAGTTTCAATTAGGATTAAAACCAAAGAATTTAGAAGCAGTTATATAAATATTAAAAATAAATTAAGTTCAAAATGGCCAACTTTGACCTAATTTCAAGTGTCGGTGATGATTATAGTCAAATTCGGACATTCTAGTGCCGGAGATTAGCTCTTCAGCCCGATTCCACTCTGTTATTTACTCCTCAAAGTTACACCACCTTGGAGGCAGTAGCTAGGTCGCGCTCAGACCAGTCCCAGGCTCTTCAGAGAAAACTAGGACACAGGCGGAGAAGGCAGCAGCGGCAGGCCACGCCTGCAAGCTCTGAGAGGACAAAGCCTTATCACTGAGCTCCCACTGCCTCTGTCATTCTGAAACTTCAAGAGATGGAGATCTTTCCAAACCCCATCTCCCGTGCTTGGGCCCAGCTGACACCCTCTCACCCATCCAGCCTCACTGTACAAATTCCACCTACACCTAGAATACTGGAAGGTAAATGGAATGCCCTTCGAGAGCCATAAAAAGAAAAATAAATGATGTGTTACCAAGAAACACACCTTCAAAGAGAAAGACACAAAAAGTAGGTTCTAAAGAAGATTCTATACCTAATTAATTAACATAGTACAATGGTCAAAGAGTAGTGATTACAACTGGGGAAATGTTCCCACTAAAACATAGCCAGGCTTCAGTGGTCCCAGGCAGTAACCCCATGAGCAGACAGAAAGAGAAACCAAGGATTTCAACAGGCTTTCCTTGACCTGAAACCACAGTCAGGACGTGATTTCCCAAAGAGGCCCCTTCCTCTCCAGGAACCACCAGAAGTTAGAGACCTTTAGTCTGGGACCATTTTCTGACCCCACAAAATAATGAGACTTCCTCACAGCTAACTCAGCATCACTGAACCATGATGAGTATTACATAACATGGAATTTTAAATACAAGTTTAAGGACACTAATAAATAATAATAATAATAATAAATAATATCCAGACAAGCAAAATAGCATCCTATTTTTCACTCCTGAAAGACTACATCCCACAGCAGTGAATGAGGCACCTAGTTTTAATTCCATAATTGATTATATAGCAAAGGATCCTACTTAAAAGTACTCACTAATATTTTTTTAAAAATTAGTTAACTAGCAATAGAGTAAAAATATATGGAGCTAATACGTAACAGAGACAGGTATTATATAAAAGGATTCTCCTTGTGCAGATATTTTTAATACTCTTCTTCCTGTTCCTTAAAATGTCCATCTAAGTCTACAGCCTTCAATGGAGAGGAAGGCAGGAAGGAGAAAATACAAGGTAAAAAGAAAAGATAAAGGGAAATGACTCTTAACTCCATGTACTATATAGCTTAGTGCATGTGCTTAGCAGAGGTACTATGGGTGAGCATCTAAAACAGCTATACAGTCAATGGACAAGGAGACTGGGCTTCAGGCAATTCAACTCACTAGAAGCAACAAAGGAAGTGCACAAGCAGCTGATCTTCTATACTACTAAGATCTACTTACACTAAATTCAATTACTAATCTCCAAATAAAAAGGAAGCTTCTTCTAGTAAGTTTTAACACTCTTCAGGGATAACCAAAAATAACAAAACACTAAACTATATCTGCCTATGTTCTAACAGTAAGAACAAAGCGTCAGCTGGTAGCAGTCTTTCCCAGGAGTCTTCTTAGCTAGCCTACCATGAGGTTCAGATATTAGGTTGGAATGACAAGAAATGAAACCACTAGTATCTAAGTTACTTTCTGTAGTTTACAAAGAGTATATTAATATGACTACTATTGCTACTACTTGGGAATCATTATTATTATTATGGGTAAGAACAGCCTGTGTATTTTAAATAGGAAACTAATCATGTCTATTGACTGAAGAACCCCTGGTGGCGAGGCCTGCACCCACGGTTCCAGCTCCTGACACTCCCAGCCCTATGGTCTAGGGCCTCTCTCTCAGTTCTGTCCCCAAGCACACCTTTGGCCTTTTTCTCACTCTGAGGAATTTGCATAATCCCATGAGCACTTAATCACAGTAGAACTCTACACTGTGCTTTCGTTTTTTCCTCTCCTCCATCTTTTCATCCATCCTTTCTACAGTATTTTATTTCCACAGAAATACTTTTCAAAAGGCAGCATCTCAAAGTCAACTCAAAGTCGAACAGCGATAGGAGCAGCCTTCTAAACTATGCGGCCACAACACACCCACACGTGTCGGGGAGAGAGCTGAGGAACCCTTTCCCGGTGACCAGGAAACCCCTGCCATACTTACTTGTGGCAGAACCAAGAAGATTCTTTGAGGCTTTATCCTCCCCAGTATTATAATCCAGTGGATAATCTGTTTGAAGAGACAATGAAGGTACTTACACTGAGAACTATCTCCAATAATATGTTTAAAAGCTTAGATTATGTCCAAGTCAGCTGACATTAAGACAAATTTTATAATAAGTATTCATTATACATCTAAAATATGTTGAAAAAAATAAAATGAGATTCATAAGTCATTTATCCAACAGACGCAATCCAAGGAAAGGAATTCTACTGCTTAACAAAGTTTTAATCACACATATAGAACTTCAATTCAAGTTTTCAATGTACTTCCAATCCCCTTGTAAATGTCTTCATTTCATTTATGGGGAAACTGAGGCTATACAGATTATGATTTAAGAGATCTTAAAACTAGGACTTGATAAAGTCGAATGAAGGGCCTCAGGCTCCTTCCTATCCCTTTAGGCTCACAGGTGTTTGTCAAAGTCTCAGGCTTCAAAGCACATCAAAACAATTAATGCTCAATTCTATTTCAGTTACCTTATTGAGTTGAATAGGTTTTGGGGTCTAAGCATAGGGATATAGTCATAATTTACAGGACAGATGATATCCAAGAGAGTTCCAATTACAAACGCTGATTGATAAACTTGGAAAACAACTCAATTGATAAAGTTGAAAATCAGTTTAGAAAATAGGCTTAGGAAAAAATTAGTTACTATGGTTAAAATAAAACCTAAAGTGTAAAGACAACATTATAGTATTAATTTTTTAAACTGACCTATACTTACCCATTTCTATCCAATTTAAAAAAGAAAAAATAGATACATAATAGTAACCTGTTCTAAAATCACTTACCATAGTCCTCATCGAATAGCTCTTGCCGTTCTGACTGATACTGGGAATCAGCAATCTCTTCATATTCTTCCACCATGCTAGTGCCAAATACCCTACGAACAACAATTTCATTAAAGACTTTCAAAACAAAACAGAGCTGTTAAGAGCCATCTCTACACAATGAATGACAAGATACATTAACTTGGTCATGTTTTGAGGGCCCTTAGCTTTTGGACTCCAAAATAATGACTCCTCCATACACTGCAGTCGGGCACTGTTTCCATCACAATGTAAAATTATTCTCTTTAAGGCATTTAAAAATATAATGACCAGGTTTTGATATCAGTCTAAAAAGTTTCCGATATTATGATAGCAAAATAGCAAGCAAACTAAACCAAACACATAAAATGATGGTTATGTTTACTTGACATTTTCCTAAAATGTCTTCAAGAGCAAGAAAAGGCTTAACGGCTTACATTTCTATGGTATTAACTTCACACAGCAGCAAATTACTTCTTCACTATAAATACACTGGGATTTTTGTGTATCACTTTTTTTGTATAAACCACCCAGTAAATGTTTTTATTACCTTATGAGACTTAATGGACAAAAATGCTCCGATCCGAAGTGGGATAACAACTCCACCTAAAGAGTAAAAGCGCATGAAATGTGAAACTAGCACCATGCTGTGAGGTTACCCAACAACACACTCAGATTCTCATGTATAACATTTCTAAAAGTCCTTATTCCCCCCCAAAATCAGTACTTGTAAAGTATTATTTTATTTTTTGCCATGCATTAATATGCCATGCCATTATCCAATATTGCAAAAGAGAAGGTTGCTAACCTTTATGTACTTGATGAACATCTGAAGCAAGAGAAAGGAAAAGAAAAAGAAATCAGTTCCAAAGTCTGGATAACATGCCACAAGCAACATTTAATGTGTGTAAGTTATATTGCACAATTAAAGAAAGCAGTGTACTTTGATGGATAAAATTGTAGTACCCTTAATTCTCTGAAGAAATTGAAGCAATAATTTAAATTTTTTACCATCTAGAAAGTACAGTCTAACTGTAATGAAATAAATTTTAAAGCTATTAAAGAACCTAAAATTCATAGTTGCTGTTTTATTTATCTGTTAAAGCTTTCTAAAAATAATAGTCTTTAGAAACAACCTGTGCCTTATATTACTTTAAATATTGATATTATCATATATAACTATGTATGAATTTATATATTAATACATATGTGGATATATGTATCTACACACATACATATTGAAAAAAGATCAATTACCATAATAGGAAATGATTTTTATTCTTGTACAATATTGTATACAAATTGTTTTAGGGAAAGCATTAATTCTTGGTATGCTTTGTTATTTCAAGTATAACAGAGCAGTAGAAGACACACATATTATCAACCCACTTTTTAAACATAAGCTACTAACAAGTAGTTTGGAGATTTGGATTTAGTTCTTTTGGAATAAAAAGAATCCAGGTAAACTTAGAGAACATTAATGTTTTTGCTTTTAGATTTAATTCTATCGTAAAGGACTTTTTAGAAAACTAATCGTCAAAATGCTCTATAGTCTTCCATCATAAAAGCAACAAGGTAGGAAGTTTTTCCAGCATACTTTTATCCTACCATAAAATATTTTATTATTAACATAGTAGAAGGTTTAGAGGAGGATTCTCAGAATTACTTCATAATGTGTTCATTATATCAATTATAAAATTAAATACAATGGTATCACCTGCCAAATAATTTTTACAATGTTTTTCCTTAACACAGTGTAGAAACTGTGCTCTATAAAAAGGCCACTAAATAATTATTTCAGTATTCATTTGAAAAGGAACTGAAAATGTACCTTCATTTTTCTGAACACTGTTGAATCACTGAGAATATCAACTACTTTAAAAATAGAATTTGGTATGTTCATACTGAGACTAGGAATACTACAAGTTTACCCACTTAGAGAAGCCAACTTAATACATGCTTAACAAGACACAGACAGTAAAATCCTGGAAGACAATTAGGTGACTATAAGTTTTCACATTTAAGGAAGAAGAAAAAGAAATTAAAGCTGCTATGATACCAAAAGTCCATATTATGAACAGAGTGGTACTTTAAGGTATGGCTAATATACTAAAGAAAAAAAGGAGAGCAGGAGAAGAATAGGAAATTCCCATATTTTGTCTAAATCCAATTCAAGAGTGATAATTCTACTTATTGGTGAAGAAAGCAGCAGGTATACTGAACAAAAATGTTTAAAAGCTGACTTTATTTGAAACTGGTATTTGGACACACAGAACATTTTACTTGAATATAAAAGGCAACATCTGTAATAACAACGAAAATAGGATAAAGTTGAAATGGCCTAAAACTCAGATTCTACTAAGAAATCAGACTTGCTATGAAGACTTCAGTGTCTAACATTGATACAAGGTTCTGAAATAAAAAGAAATATGGTATTACGAAGATGAGATTTTATATAAAGACTCAAAAAGATTAAAGTTATAATCTGGAATTTCATCAGAGCCACAAATATACTGGGCCTAGATTTCCAGTTACACCGAAGGGAATGTAGTACTATTTGTCTCATTAAATGAATAACATTTTCAAGTAAAAATTATTTTATTAAATGGTATACTTCAGTAAATTTCCTCTTAACTTCTCTGACTTCTAAACAGGCATGTTGAGGTTCTAAAGTATGAGTAACAGGTATGTTTCATTCCAGAACATAGTCCCATACGTGCAATCATTACCTTCACATATTTCGCATACATCTGTTCGTCTAAAGGGAAACTCTGGACATTTCTCTCATCTCTACCATGGAAAGTCCCCAGCTTAACCCACTTATTCGTGGGGTACCTAGGAAATATAAAACATAAATATTCCCTTAAAACAATCATGAAACACACTGAGAGGTCCCTTCACATCTTCGAAATGCATTGTGTATGTTTTTTTCCTCTCCAGGTAAACATACTGATTTAACTTAGTTTAAATATCAGTTAAACAGTGAGTGGAATATTTAGTTGGAATATTCTTTTCCAACTAAAACTCTAACAGGTTCCTTTTTAAGAAGAAAGAATATTTTGAAAAATCACACCATTATCAAACAGAAGGGGAAGACAAGAAGACAAAAATGGGATGAGGACTGCTTCTTAAGAGTAAGGGCTTTCCAGTAAACTGGACGTTTTAAAACAGGAAGTGGCCAACCGACTAATTTGGAAGGAGGTGCCACTCTTCCTGTACTGACAAGTGCGTCATGATACAAAGCATGAACGGAAGCTCTGGTGGACAGGAAAACAGAGGAAACCCTTCAAAATCATATTTGAACTCCTCAGAGCTGACGTAGCTGTACCCCTTGAAAAGGAAATCTAATTTAAAAACCTAAAATTACTTTTTGTTTACTATAGCACGTGCTCTCTTATCACAAACATAAACAATACACACAAACTATCAGACCTGATATGGCCATTTGACATTATTTTAAAAATTATGTCTTAGAGAGAAGGAAGTGATCTAAGCAAGGTTAGTAGAAGAAAAATGGATCAAATTCTCACAAAGTCTTGAGGATTTATTTCTAAAACTGTCTGTACATATGCAATGCTGAGTGTGGGGTAGAGGAACAAACACCATGGAAAACCCTTCGTGATCAACGACAGAAGAACAGTTAAATAAATAAGAGCACCCTACATGCACACCGTCGGCACTCCCAAACAATGTAGAACATGAGTGAACTCCTCCACTCGGGGGGGAGACATTATGCACTCATTTAAAATAGCGTGTTTAAAGGACAAAAGGATATTCTCAGCATGGAAGCAGTAAAAACTAAATTTATTTTGTTTTTATAACAAAATACATTTCATAATGTAAATACATAGTTCATAAGTAAAACATAGAAAAGATGAAGAAATATACTAAAATGCTAATGACAGTTATCTTTGGTTGATAGGATTGTGCTTCTTTACCAAATTCCCTGCAAATGTGTTCTCTCTCTTACAATCACACACACCAACAAAAAAAGTTTCAAACTATACTTTAACAAAAATATACCTCATGAAATAAAATGAAGTACTCATTTTTTAAGTAACATTTAAAAGAAATATCTGGAAGCAAATAGAACACAATAATTAAAAATAAGGACTTCAAAGCCACACAGATCAAGGTTTGAATCTCGGTTCTCCAACTCCCAAGTCATGTGACCTGGGCAAGCTACTTTACCTCTCCTTATCGGGTTCCTCATCTAAGAAGGAAACAACGTTGTATGGTTGCTGTAAGCACTATGAGTTAATAAAAGTAAACTATTTGACAAGTGCCTACACTAAGCAGTATTATTACTGTTCTTACACATTGATAGATTAATATAAAAAATTAAAGTTTTTAAAAGCGACCCATTTAAAAATTTTTATTCTAGAGATCCACCATAAATTCTGCAGAAACCAGCTTTAGAATTTACCTGTCACTGATGGAAACCAGAAAGTCTTTAGGAGTAGAAGAAAATAACTCATAATTTGCAATATCAAGCTGCTTTACTTGAATTGGTTCACAAAGTTCAATAACAAACCTTCAAAAAAAAAAAAAGACAATTTAGATAAACCAATCAAAACAACAGTTCACATCAAACTAATTAAAAACAGTTCAAATCAAATTAACAGTGTGCATAAACTAGATGTCTATGAAATGACTCATTATTAAAGGAAGGAGGAGGACATGGGGCCTTAGTTATCCATAAGGGAACACCTGTATTTCCCAAGCACATGATGGGGGCGGGGGGGCTACAAATAAAACAGGATCTTGATTTTATACCATGATATTTTTTTAAAAGATTTTTTTTAAACAACAAAGGTTATTTTTGGAGAAGAAGTGACTTCACTAAGAACAGCTAGTGACCATAAAAACTAAATAGTCCAGAGGGCAGTTAGGCAAATACACTGTCTCAAGGGTACCAGAGCCTTTGATTTAGCAATACACTTTTAGAAATTTATCCTAGGGATACATGGCCCCAAATGTCCACCCTTGTATATACATTTTAATACACCAAAGCACAGTTTGCAGGGCGCGGCGGGGCGGGCAGCACAGGTGGTAGTCAACCTAAATGATTAGCAGAGAGGATTAACAAAGGAGAGGGTTGGCTTCACTGCCCACCTAGACAGTAGAATACAAGAGCTGTGGTAAAAATGGCACAAGAAACTATGTATTCCATTATACAGAAACCTAGAAAACGTAAGTTACAATGATAGAAAAACAGACCTGACATTGCAGTAGTGGAGGGGTGAGAGGGAAAAATTACAAAGGAGTTTTGGAGAAATGGGTATGTTCCTTATCTTTACTATGTGATAGTTTCATGTATAAAATATCAAAGTTAACAAACTGTACACTTTGACCTGTTGCAGTTTATTTTACATGTAGTTCATTGTATGTCAATGATGCCTCAATAAAGCTGTTTTTAAAAAATCATGCCAGAAACCTATACTTATGGACATGGAAAGATGCCACAAATTATTGCTGCTTAGAAAAATATTAAAAATATGGCACCATGTGTGTAAACTAAAACTGTAGATAGCATGGCATTTGCAGAAAAGAAATGCTGGCGGCACCTAGCACTCTAATCAATACACAGTAAACTACTGTATCAAATGAGATATGTTAACAATTAAATGTTAAATAAATCAGACATTAAAATGAAGATATTGTGCTTAATCTTGGAAAACAACAGAACCAAGTTCCAGGAGATGGTAAAAGCAATCAGAGGTCAGAGAGCGCCGCTCGCTCGGGAGAGGGCACATGACAGGGACCTGCTGATGTGCGCTCCGTGTCAGATCCCATGTCAGACGACGTAATCCTTCTTTCAACTGCAAAGGGTATCATCTCCATTTCACAGAATCACTTAATAAATACTAATTGGTTACTTCACACTCTCCCCCTCTGTCTTTGCATTTCTTGAATACACAGAACCCCCAGCCAAGACACAGCCGAGCTGCTGGCCGCCCATCAGACCACTTCCCAGCTCTGGCCACGCTACGTCTTTCTGGGCGATGGGATGGGAGCAGAAGTGTCAACTGCAACTTCCTGCTCAGGCCTTTTAAAAGGCAGCCGCTGCCTCTCCACACTGTGCATTCTCCCCCCTGAACCTTACAGGCTGGGAGGAGGGCGCGGTGAGTCCATCACCTCGCCACCCAGGCAGGAACACCGCCTGAGGGAGGCGGAGGCGCGGGGGCCTGGAACGGTTCCATGTCGGACCCCTGCACCTCCGACCAGCTTGAGCTTTCAAGTCAGAGAAATTTAAATGTCTATCTTATTAAAACCAGTTATTTGGTCTCTGTTAAGTCACAGAATCACAAGCCCTACTTAGTCAGTTAGCCAAGAAGCAGGAAGCTCAAGTCAGAGCACAAATCGATCTGGCTCCAACGCCTAAATACTGTTTATATCTATCACCACTACACCCTGAGGAGAGGAAACTGAAGAAAATCAGACTCCGACTTTGGTTTTTGTTTACAATGGAGAAAATAAACCTAAAAGAATATTATGGGGAAAAAAAGCTAATTTTTCCCACCTTTTTTTGCAAAAAAAAATGTTGTCCCTTTCTAAGAATACAGGAGCTATATTAATGCCAGATAAAATAAGCTCTCACACAACTGTGTTACCAAGCGTAAGAGTCACGTCACCAGGAAGATTTAACAATTCTAAAACTTGCATGCACCTAATATAAGCCTCAGGGTATGTAAAATATTACTATGCATGGAATTATTTCTCATTAAAGTTGATTTTAAAATGCTTCTTCATTACATCTTTCTGCCTCAACTTTTGTTTCTTAGAAGCAGAGGATATTATATGCAAATTAACAACACTACATGTAAAAGATGACAAATCCAATTTCAATATACTTCTCTTATTTACAGGTAATTTTAAAAAATCGGTAAAGTAACAAATCTGAACACAAGTAGTTTGATAAAACAACATGTATCAAAACTTAGACGACACAATTAAGAATGAAATTTATAATTTTAAACATGTGTATTAGAAAAAAGTGTGTATTAAAAAATAAGTGTAATAGACAAAACCTAAAGAAAGTATAAAATAATACAGATTCAAACAGAAATACAAGAAACAGTAAACAAAGACATGATAGAGGGACTTGATAAAGCCAAAATAGACAAATTTCTGTGGCGATTAAAGGAGAGGCATAAATAAAAATATTTTTAAAAGTCTGTAAAATAAAAAAGATCTTTATACAATAAGGCAACGACATAAACAACTTCATTAGAAAAACTCTGAAAATGGATGAAAGACAAATTCCCAGAAACATAAAATTAACCAAAATTAACTCAAGAAGAAACAGGAAATCTACAGCGTCTATTTTGGGGCACAATGTTATTCCAGCATCAGTGCATCATAGGACAGGTGCTCAATAAGCATCAAATGAACAAACAAATACATGGAGAAAGAGACAAACTAACATGAACAAACAAATACATGGAGAAACAGACAAACTAACAAAAGACCAGGAAGATTCACCTCAAGATTTGAAACAATTCCAATAAAAATGCCAGCATAATTTTTTGCAGAACCTGACAAGATGGTTCTAGTATTTAAAAGAAAAAACAAAGGGACAAGCAGAGCGGCGGCACCTCCAATGACGATGAGGTACATGTGCGCCGCCCCCACCAGCCAGGAAGACCCGTTAAAGCCACAGGGGAACTGAGTGGTCGTGGAGCACCTTAGACGGGCCAGCCCGCCTCAGTCACGTGAAGTCAGTGAAACGGTGTTCTGAGGTTTTCATTATCAGCGAGAAGACACACAAGTGAGCAAGAAGTAAAACCCACAATAAACACATATACACAAATACATGCTGTCTGGCAGAAAGGTTTAAATACAAAATGGGTAGTTATTAGCACTTATTCTGCAAACCAGAATAAAGTAAAATGATTGCTTCATGTAACTTCATCCCAGCACATATTTGCTTGAAATATAAAACTTTGGAGCATAAAAACTTGTTACTGACCATAGAGGCTTCGACAAAGAAATACACCAAAATTATATTTTATGACCTCAGACAATCATTGCTTCAAATTCAATTTATGGACTAAATAGCACAAAGACTGTTTTTGAAACGATACTGTAATACCCTTAAATAATTTAGTGATAATTTTCAAATTGAACCTAAAGATACATGTTACCAAAGGGAGCAAAGGCCAATAACAAGAATAAGCATTATCTTCAAAGTTTAATTTCTCCTTAATAATTTTATATATATGTACATCAATACAATAGTGGTGATTTACCACAATTCTATTTTAAACAGCTGCTTTTGAGCAATAAATCAAGTAATCTAATAAAACTGTTAGTATATCACATTATTTCCTCCCTCTTTGCCTATATTCTTACTTAATGGCAGAAGTGGTATAAATCTACTTCTTTGCCTATATTCTTACTTAACGGCAGAATCATACATCCAAGCAGTGAAGCCAAAATCCTGGGAGATGCCTCGATGTCTCTTTCTTTGCATCCAATAACTAACCAAGAGCTGTCTATTTTATCTGCTCTAAAGATCTTCCAAGTATGCCTCCCCCTCTGCTATATCCAAACTGTCAGTGCTTTAGTTAAAGCCCTCATTTCTCACCTGAGCTTTGACAACAGGTTCCTACCTGGTGCCCCTGCTTCCAACTGCATCCTGCCACAGGCCACCCTTTGAGGACACGCCTTCTTAAAATGCCAGCGAGATAATGTCATTACTTACTAAAATAAACGACATCCCCTTCATCTTCTTTAAGATAAACTTGAAAAAGCTGTAAGCTGGGTATACATAATATTAGATGGCCTGGTCATTGCTAAGCTAACTCTCCTGTCTCTTCATTCACCATTTATCACCTTTATTCTTGTCACGACTAAAAATACTTTTCCAGGCTGCGTCTGCTGTACTTCCGGTTGCGGCTTGCGGCACTGTCCCCGCGCCCGTGCAGTCCCTGGATGCCTCTCCCCGCACCTGCTCCCTTCTACGAATAGTCCGTCAAGACTCAGCTCAGGAAGGACCTCTTCCAAGAAGCTCTTTCACCCTCTCGTGCAATTACTTACCATCTCTGCATCTAGTCCAACTTTTTCAGCAGTATTTTCTACATTATGTCATCATTGTTTGACTAGATCTGTCACTGTTTTTGTTTTTTTTGACCTCCTTAATAGGAAAAGCATTTCTGTCTTCAATTTTGTATCCCTGTACCTAAGGCAAGTACAGTACCAGTCCCAACAAATCACAAATGCTTACTAAGTAACTACATGAACAAATCATTCTAATCCTAACACAAAACTATATACACATATATAGTGTGCTTTATTACATTTTATTTTACTTACCAAATCTTAGTGCTGCAAGGATTCAACATATAAAGATCCATGTTTTCTATAAGAATAGCAGATGTGCTCTAGTTTAAAAGGGGGGAAAGAAATAAATTACTAAAGTAAAAATATTTATTTCAATTCTAAAGCTTTCTAGGATTTCTATATTTTTAGATCTTAAAACACACCTAAGATTCTGAAACACTCACTTGGGGAAAAAATTTCACTTGGCTAAAATTTATCACTCATGGCTGTAACACTGTTAGCCTTGCAACAAAACATCTGAGATTAAATGTCTGTTACTATTTTTTTTTAATTTATTTTCTATTGGCTATTTCCTTTTTAAAATTTCACACAGGTTTAAAAAGTTAAAAACAGGGTGCATGTCCTTAATTAGGTAAGTGGATAAACAATACATCCACACAATACAGCTCTAAATTTTAGAGATTATTCAGCTCTAAAAAGGAAATGAGCTATGAAGGCATGAAAAGACATGGACAAAACTTAAGTGCATGTTACTGAGTAAAAGAAGCCCATCTGAAAGCCTACATACTATGTATAACTCCAACTACCTGACATTCTAAGGAAAAAACTATTTGGGTAGTAAAAGACTAGTGGTAGCCAGGAGATTGGCCGGGGGTAGGGGGGGGCGGGGTGCTGGAGGAATGAACAGGCAGAGTTTGTACGATACTGTAATGATGGATACATGTCATTATACGTTTGTTCAAATCCACTAAATGTATGATTGAACGCAATTGTAAGCTATGGACTTTGCGTGATAATGTGTCAATGTAAGTTCATCAACTCTAATAAAGGAATCACTCTGGTGGGGGATATGCTGATAATGGAGGAGGAAATGCATACGTAAGGGCAGGAGGTATATGGGAATTTCTGTACCTTCCTCTCAATTTCCTATGCACCAAAAACTGCTCTAAAAATAGTCTCCAAAAGAAATAAAAGTGCAATATATCAATCAATATAACTAAGAATTCATACAAGAAATGGTCTTTAAAAGCATAACCCTACCTTTATTAATGCATTAGCAAAGTAGCTCATGTTAATACATAGTTCCCAGAAAATCGCTGCTTATATTTATTAAAGTCACCAGCTTCCTACATGTGCAGAAAAATTTTATACTTAAGTACCTTGGCTTCTGGATTAGCTGCCAAAATTTTGGCACCACATTCTACTGAGGCATAATTGTTTCGATTTTTCTGGACCTTTTTCGTGGCATGTAGACCTCCATTAGAAGACGCGTGCATTGACTGACCTGCGGACAGACCTTATTATAAACATACATATGATGATTATGATTGAAAATATCCCAGCAACACCATGATCTCAAAAGTAACAGTCTGCTGCCTAAAGAACAGGTTTTAATGCCTCAGAGAATATTTTAAAATATTCTATATTCTAAAATATTTTAAGAAATTCAAAATGCTTTACCTCAATAGCTTTAAATACCCCCAATAAACAAATTAGCTACAAAAATCCACACTGCTTGATTTATGTCTAAGTAACATAATTCACAAAATGAAGTTCATCTATGAGAATCAAAGCTTTTAAAAATATAAAATACATAATTAATTCTATTAAGGACGAATGCTATCCTTCTATCTCTAACCTCAATATTAAGAATTCTTAATTCTGAGAACCATTCTACAAAAGCAAAATTAAGTGTTAATAAATTTAGTCCAACGGTATTTACAGTTCAAAGCTGTATGACTTAGACCTTTCCATGCCTCAATTTTCCTCTTATAAACTAAGATGAGAATCACTGCTCTACTGTCTACCTTAATTTTTTCCCTCAATGAGTAATTTACAAGAATGGATTTTAATCAGAATTAAAATTGTACATAATTATACACAGGTAATTTACATATGGGTATTTAATAGTTATCTTGGTAAGTTTTACCTTTAAAAAAGTTTTCAAAGTTTTATTTTACTAATTAAAAAGAGAAAAGCATATTTAAACCAGTTCCTTTATTTTAAAAAAAAAAGAAGGAATCAAAAGTACCATCTTACTTTTTTCTTTTTCTACTTCCATAACTTTCTTCTTCCATTCATCAAATGTTGGTATATCCTCTGGGTCTTTGGGACTTGTTACAGACGTAGGGTCGATTTCTTCTGGTTTTGTATAATCAGAACTCTGAAAGAAACAAAGATTTCAACTTTCACAGAATACAAAGGTATTCTCTGCAATTTAAATTGTTCCAAGGTACACATTTTTCTATAATGTGTACCTAATTTTATTTCTGGCTTTGGTATGTGACTACTCAACTGTAATGTATCTTGATTTGGTTTCACTGGGAAGATTCGCTCATTCACCATGCTGACTGAAGTGCTGAGCCCCTATACTCATGAAAAGGTGCACAGAAAGAGCAGAAGTCTCCAGAATGAAGCACAGTGAGTTGTGAGTGGAGATTCACTGAAAGTGCGTGAAGAGAAGGTGGAGAACAGGAGACCCAAATTAAAAAGGCACAGTCTGCCCCTTCCAAAGATTTCCAAGTCACACTGAGACCAAGAAATATGGCCCAATGAAAGAAGAGATCAAAGCTCCAAAAATAGAATTAGGCAATGAACAACGAGCCAACCTATCAGATGCACAGTTTAAACACGGGTACTCTGGCTGCTCACTGAACTGGTTGAATATGGTCACAAAATGGAGGAAAAAGCGAAGGCTATGCAAAGTGAAATAAAGAAAAATATACAGGGAACCAACAGTAAAGGGAAGGAAACTGGGGCTCAAGTCAATGATTTGGAGCAGAATGAAGAGATAACATTCAATCAGAACAGAAAGAAGGAAAAAAATTCAAAAAAATGAGGAGAGGCTTGGGAACCTCTGAGGCGACTTTACATGTTCCAAAACATAGGGATGCCAGAAGGAGAAGAGGAAGAGTAAGAAATTGAAAACTTATTTGAAAAAATAATGGAGTATTTTCCCAATCTGGTAAAGGAAATAGACCTTTAGAAAGTCCAGGAAGCTCAGAGAGTCCCAAAGAAGTGGGACCCAGGGAAGCACACACCAAGGCACATCATAATTAAGTTACTCAAGATTAAAGATACGGAAAGAATCTTAAAAGCAGCAAGAGAAAAGGAGACAGTCAGCTACAAAGGAATTCTCTTAGGACTATCAGCTGATTTCTCAAAAGAAACCTTGCAGGCAAGAAGGGCTGGCAAGAAGTTTTCAAAGTCATGAAAGACAAAGACCTGCATCCAAGATTCCTCTATCCAGCAAAGCTATCATTTAGAATGGAAGGGCAAATAAAGTGCTTCCCAGATGAGGTCAAGTTAAAGGAGTTCATCATCACCAAGTCCTTATTATATGAAATGTTAAAGGGACTTATCTAAGAAAAAGAAGATCAAAAACTATGAACAGTAAGACAGAGGGGAGAGGGAAGAATGGAGGAAAAGGTACAGGGAATAAGCAGCATAAATAGTAGGTACAAAATAGGCAGGGGGAGGTTTAGTATAGGAAATGGAGAAGCTGAAGAACTTATATGCATAACCCATGGACATGAACTAAGGCGGGCGGGGTGGGGGATGCGGGGGGATGGGGCGGTGTGGGGTGGAGGGGAATGAAGGCGAGGAGAACAATGGGACAACTGTAATAGCATACTCAATCCCACACACACACATAAAAAAGCACAGATACGGATGTGACACCAGCACTATGAGCTCCTCTCTGATTCCCCATATTTTGTCTCTGTTAAGTTACGGAGGGGTATTCATCTCTTTCACTTTGTTATTTCTTACCTGAAGGAAGCCTAGACCTTCCTGACAATGCTTCTTCTGGAAATTCCACACTGGCCTCTTATCTGAAGTCAAAGTAGAACTCAGAAGGGAGAGTAAAACTGCCACACTGGGATAGGCCCTGTCTTTACGTTAAGAATCATGCTCTTCAATAAAAGCTGGTCTAGTGTTTTGCACACAAATAATTAAAGGTAAAATATCCCTCTGAAATGATTCTGGTTGAAGAGCATGTATTACTGGATTAAACTTATATACAGAAGATACTTAAATTTACTAGTCATAAATACTGCTATAGAGCTCTCTAGAACCTGCTTAAATGAGGACTTTATGCACCTGATATTAAAGCAGTAATAGTGGCAGAAAACCATTTAATTACATACAACCAAAGACAGGCCATACCAGCAAGGACTTACTCATAAACAGCATACTGGCAACAGTACTATGAAGTACCCACTTGCTCTCAGGGAGCACAGCTCATTACTTAAAACCCCTGATTTTGTAACAAATAAAGTTTGCAAATTACCTGATTCGCTCATCACAAAAACACATTGTATAATAAAGTAGGGGATAGTGCAAGGTAGAATACCTACCTCATTTTTTAAATTATCTGAAGCATTCAATGCAGACTTTGGATCACCACCGCTCTGATCACTTGCTGAAACTTTTGATGCAAATTCTGATTTTGTTATCTTTCCTTTGCCATGTGAAGATGACACATTTTCTATATGCTGGCCAACAAGGCTATTTGAAAGCAAAAGACATATTTAAACCAATTTTAACTAAGTAACAAATTTATACCACCAAAATTATTATAATTATCATGTACAAAGTAAACCAAGAAAGGAACTCGAATGGGACCTCAGCTTTCCCTCCATCGGAAAGTGGAATTAAGCATCCACCGAAGTCCACTCACACGTGACCCTGCTGTCCCTCCAGACCCTACAAAAGCAACCGCTGCCCACACCCACCTTTCGTGTGGACGGACAAAGGCGGGCTGGTGGGCAGGAGCACTGGCTTCCAGGGCCTCGCCAACATCACAGTCGGTTTCAGGTGGCTCAGTTTCACGGGGCTTGGCTAGAGGAATAGTACCAGATTTTTCTATTTCACTAAAAATAGGGGGGTGGGGGGGAGAACCAAGCTGGTTAATTTGATATAAGAAGAATAAGTAAAAAAAAAAAAAAATGATTATCAATGATTTCTTAAACATAATCTAAGCTGGAAAAGAATGCTTTACATTTCTGCAGGCTATTTTCAAGAATTCACTTCTTTTAAATCATGTAAAGTCAACTGTTGACTCTTTTTTAAAAAACTGATTTTAGAGAGAGGGAGGAAGAGAAGAGGAGGAAGAAACACTGGCCTGTGCCCCTGCACCCATTCACATGCATTCGCTGGCTGATCCTTGTACGGGCCCTGACCAGGGATTAAATCCACAACCCTGGCGCCTCAGGGGGACGCTCTAGCCAAGCACTTGTTAACTCCTAACCTATTAGTGCCCTTAAACTCTGAACAGCTGATTACAAAATTTTAAAACAAAATATTATAGGTTAATATTTGGTCTTATCAAAAACAAATTTTTTAAATTATTTATTCTAAATGCACCTTGGTATATTTTTCTTAGTATAGTATTTACTGCCAACAGTATCAAAAAATCACCTATTATCAAAACATCGCACTGAAGTTCTTAAGGTACCTTTAGAATTTCATTTTAAAAATACACACCCTAACTGTTTTTTCTAAATCACTTCCATTTCACTAGAGAGTCATATTCAATATAATGAGAAAATACAGTACTGTTTAGATATATGGTATCTAGTCTTAAATTCTTTCTGGAATAAACACTATTTAAAAATTTTAAACACTAAGCATGTCTTCTGTTCCCTTGTCGCTTCCTGGAACAAACTCCTAAATGGTAACTGGAACATCTGTGTACAATTCCTTCAACCCAGCCCTTACATTCTTCAGAATAGGTGTTTAAAAATTGCTTGTGGTTTAAAAAAAAAAAAAAAGTGGAGATAATAATAATGATATTAACTAACATACATTCTTACTATGTGCCAGATTTTGTCCCTATGCACTATATATATGTTAACTCATTTGATAAAAGAAATGCTTAACGTACTATAGTATTAAGAACATTTTATTTTATTCTTTGTAGTATTACTGTAAGGAGCTAGGAGGAGTAAGTACATAACAGGTTTTCTAAGTTAAGGAAAACTTGCACCTATGTGTTCTAAATATTTATTATCAAATTTGAAAAAGGCAGCTATTCAAACAAAGACATAACGACCAGTATATATGGAATGCTGCACTGATGCTTAATGCAAATAAATAATCTGGCATTTGAATGATTGATAATTATAGGAAGGGTTATTGAAATAGGTATTACATTTTTTAAACAACTAGAAACTCACTTTACCTATACGATATACAAATTTCACAGCTGGGATCTAATCCTGAATGTAGGTAGCAAAATAAGTACTCATTATATTATAAGATGATTACATTAAAAATAATAAAAACACATTATTTTTAGGTGTGTGTTTAGGCATTATAACTTAGGTCTGCTATACAGCCTAAACTTAAAATCAGACTATCAAGCTGCCTGATTCTATAAAGAAATTTTTCTATCATAATCTAATGAGGTTTTTTTTTTTTCTTTGTAATGACTTACTCAAGTTTTGAGATTGGAATGATCTCTGAGGTAGATGAGCTGGAAATATTTTCAATGTTTTCACTGCCCACAACTACACTGGAAGAATCTTCATGTAGATCACCTGAAGAGAGTGTCTCAATCACAGGCGGACTTAACTTTTTTGACTCCGTATTCTGTTTTAAAGAAAGTTATATTAAATGTTAAAATTAACAAATTATCTCTTTAGATGAACAGGACTATGCAAAAAGTATGCCTCAAAAGTGACAATATAAATAATGTTCACTAAAAAAGTAAAAAACCTTTCTTCCACTATTACCTCTCTGTGGAATATATTTCATATTAAAATATGGGCTCTGCACATTTTTAATGGCATTTCATAAACTAGGACAAAAGAACTTGCCTTTGGTCTTTCCTACTTCCTACTTCAGACCTACAAACATTCCAGTCTTACATAGTTCCTGTGTTGCTACTGGGATTTACATAGGACTGCTGCGTTGCTATGTAAATACACAAAATAATACAACACAGAGTTCTTGCCCCTAAGCAATTCAGAAGATAATGAGTATCAATAAACAACAACACAACACGGAGCAATTCAAGAATCTTGCTGCTCCCTCATCCTGGGTGTTCTGGGCCGTTTGCCCCTCCCAAACACAATCTGAGATCTACCTGCTGTCCACTGGTGTTTGAAAACCCTACCACAATCCTCCTCCCCCTTGGCCAACCCTAAACAGGATTAGCCTTGCCCCTTCCTCTCGGCTCCACGGGTCCCTGTACACTTTCATCACAGCGCCCATAAAGTCTCTTACAGACACCTCTTCCTCCTCAACTCTACTACGAACACCCTGGCTACAGACTGGGCTCTCTTGCTCTTCACGTTCCCGGTGTCCAGCACAGCACCCTGCACACAGCAGACATCTAACGCTTACTAAATGATTATCAAGGGAGAGGTCCTCGTGCTCTGTTCCGAGGAAAAAGACAACGGACTAGAAGAACTAGGACTCTGAAGAGAAGGAGGGCCAGCATGCAGGCACAAAGAGAATATAAGGCAGAGTCAAAATATACAAAATGTGGTCATTTAGGGAGTTATTTACACTGAAATTCACAAAGGAATGCAAATGGTTTACATTTTATGGTGGAGGCCTTGAGAAAAAAAGACAAAAATTGTATTTTTATTTCAACATGTATTCAATGTAAAAAAAAGAGGTACTTTGCACCCTTTTATTTTCCTTTACAAAGTTTCCAAAGTCTGATGTGCACATTATAATTACAGTAAATCTCAATTTGGACTAGCTGTGTTTCCAGTGCTCACCAGCCACATGCAGCACGTGGCCACTGTACTGAGCAGCACAGGTCTCCAAGATGCAAAAAGCATTTGAAAGTGTTGGAGCGAAGTAGACCATGATGGAAAATTCTAGAAAATGGACAATGGTAGGACTGTTCCAGACAGTCATATCATTAGAAGGGTCACGCAGATCTCTTTTTTCTTACTCTTAGGCACAAAATTTAAGAAATGTCTTCTAGAACCCCAAAAAAGCAACTCACTCTATTTCCTTACATAACCTAATTTAATTCATAAAACACCTCTAGCTGAATTTAAAAAAGAGAGTTCTCCCTCATTTTAAGCTGAAATTTGGTTTTGTTAATAGGTGAGATAGCTTTTTCTTAGTCTTTCCTCTTCCAGCTCAAATATCTCCAAAGTGTAACATAATATTCAGGACATAATATGGGAAAAAGAGGAAAAACATCCTAACCTATTATTTATCATTCATATTCCACCAAAGTGATAAGACTTTGTTATCAAAATACTGTGTTCTACATATAAATATTTTCTATTGTTGTGAGTTAGAAAAAAATCCCCAATAGCCCAAAGTCTGAAGTGACAAGATACATCACAGTGGGGCAAAATAAAACCCAGGAAGACGTGAGGACTTCTGTGGGAACTTTCACTACAGAGGAAATGGTCTCATTTATTAGTAAATCAGTAATTGTGCATTTTCTCAAAAGCAGTACTCTTAGCAGGTGAATGGTATTAATACCAGTTGCATGGTACTTCAAAAAGAAAAAGTATCAATGCCCAATATGATGACCAATCAGAGATTTTCTATCTTATGAATTAGTTAGAAAAGACACATCATTAAAAATCAAAGCAACACGGCTTACTTGCACATCCACAACGTAGTCATCTTTTAATTTCTGTTCTTCTGGAGGAATAGGTAAATTTGAACTCACTTTTTCCGGGAATTCGGCATTGATGGGTCCCTCTCTTTTATCCTGTATTGCAACAAACAAAAAGGCTAACTGGTAAACGATTTTTTCACAGAACAGTCCTGCAGCAATATTAAAGACCACCTCTTTCTGTACTTTACGAACAAAACACTGCCTTGGGTGCATGTGACTCTAATTACGTGTGTTTAAACGTTTATCATCTACGTTCCCGCATTCCCCTCCTTGCCACTGCACATACTGTGTCCACTAATCATGTGGCCATGAGCCTCACTTGACGTCTTAATAAGCACTTTAATCCTAACGCCGCTATGTGTCAGGCACACAGCAAATACCTGATAAATGCATGTACTTGTAGTTCCTTGTGTCAACTCTCTTTTGACACTCATTTTCAAGTTAGCATTTCCGATACCTGTATGTCTTTAAATGTATCTTCTGGAAGACAAGTTTCATAAAACAAAGCTCATATTAATCTTTGTTTTGGATAGCCCATAATAGGTACCTTAATGTTTGCTGAAAGAATGTTTTCCCTCTTAATCCTTTACTTAATTAAATTCATTCTTATAACATTTAGTTTTCCAATTTCTCCTCAAAGAGAGTACATCTAAATCTTACAGAATATGGATGAAAGCATAAACTTACACTTTTCTTGAGAAATATTCAGCAACAGACTTCAAATCTTTAAATGCTCCATCCCAGAAATACAGTATATATATAACTCAAATATTTAAATAACCCACTGTAAATATCATGCCAAAAAATAAAATCAAGCTTATAATTATGTTTGCACATAACACACACAAATGTACACATATACACAGCTGAAACACAATGTAAGTCTGTCAATAAAGAAATGTTTAACAAATTATGCTACATCTATATATATAAAATAAAAATGTAGCCATTCATAAGACTATAGCAATATAAAAGGTGTCCAAGAGATATTATGAGGGGAAAGGGGAAGTCTATAGACTATTAACAACATTTTAATGAAAATAAAAATATTAATTTTTAAAAAGTGTTAATTTTTTTTGCTACATAATGGTATACCTACATCTCAAGAAATGGTATGAGCATTTTCACAAGAAACAGTCAACTGTGGTTCCTCTGGGAGGGGAACAGGATATAAATTATTTTATAGGCAATATCAATTCCTTCAGTATTTTAAAATAAGTACATTAACTGGGGGGGGGCCAAATCTAGTCAACACTCACCTTTATTCATTTAATATGATAAAATAAAAAATTATTTAGAGACCATAAGGTTGTGTGGACTCTGTTCATCTCCCCCAATTATATAGCCACTGGTTGCAGATTCTGCCTATAATCCTCATTTCTAATAGTTTTAAATTTATAAGATTGGAGTTTCTTTAGAAACCCTTTAACTATTTAGTGCATTAAAAAGCAAGCCACTGGTTTTCAGTCCCCTGAATAGGTACTCTTTCTCCCTACTGTAGGACTAAGGATGTTCCAACATTTCAAATATAAGCAGTAAAAATAAATACATAAATATCTGAGGTAGCTTAATTTCAGAAATATTCAGGTAACTCCTCAATTATACAAAGGAAGAATCAGAAATCTCCACCAGAAATTATGTCATAGGATTTTTGAAATTACTTTTATTCTGAATGTTATGAGGAAGTCTTAGAAAGCTGACATACAGAATACTTCGTCACCTTTATTTAAAGTACCTTTTTCTGGAATTGTACATCTTCATTTTCTAGTGCGCAACTGTCATCTTGAGAGTAATATGATGAAGCTGAAGAACTCTCTTTACAACACACACGCCAACTGGGAAGCCTGTAAAACATCCACCATCACCACCACCAAAAAAAAAAAAGAAAAAGAAAAAGAAAGAAGGAAAAGGTGTTAAACCACCATATGCCCGACTATGGACTAGAATGTGAGTCAATAAACGCAAGGATGGTTCTTAGCTAATGCCCCTAAGAACTTAATTTGATGAAGATGACAAATGTACATAAAAGACAAGGGTTTTTTAATTTATTTATGTAATGCCCTAAGAAAAATAGACTGTTATCTGCATTCCAAGTACGGAATTATGAATTTCATGAAGGTAGAACAGGAAAGATTTCACAAAAGGAGTATCTGATGATTATCACAGAAAATAGAGAGAGCTGTCAAAGAGCTAACTAACCTCAGCTCCAGATGCCAATAATATTCTAAATTCTACCAAATAGTTAAGAACAAATAACTCTAAAGCTACCTAAACTATTTCAAAGCATAGAAGCAAGCTTCCAAATTATATTTATATGGGAAACATAATAGTAACATCAAAAAAATTAACAGAAACAGCACACACAAATGAATGCCATAGGTTAATACTACTTGTGAAAATCAGACACAGAACTTCTAAAGAAAACAATAAAAAAGAAAGTCTCTAGGAACACAACAAAAATAAAATAATACATCAATATCACGATCAAGTAGATATTCAAAAGTCATTCAATATAATAAAATCAATTTATTTTGCCATGCAAAAACATCAAGAAAAAATATTATCATCTCCATAGGCACTGAAAAATATATGATAAACTTACATATTCCACAAGTCAATAAGTAAACATTTAATGTGGGAAAAGGAGATAGAAGAATTATGAATTACTGTAGATAATGAATTTACATAGGTGGAAAACTAAAAAGAAAATCTTGGGTATAAGAAGTATATACCTAGGCATAACATTAAGAAACCAATCAATAGACTCTACTCAAACTACCCACCACCAGTTACAAGATCTAATAGGAGAAAAGTCCCCATTGAAAACAGAAATAATAAAATACTAAATATAAACTTAGGAGTGTACTATTAAGCAGAGCTGTGTGAAACTGCCAATATTTGACAAATCTTTAACTTGAAAGTCAATTTTACACAATTCAAGCTAATTTAAATGGAAGATTTGAAATCCACATATTTTTAATTTGACAGGCTGACTCTAAAGTTTACCTAATCAGTAAGAATAATCAAAAAGATTTTTTAAAGATTTTATTTATTTTTAGAAAGAGAAAAAGGGAGAAATAGAGGGAGAAATATCAGTGTGTGGTTGCCTCTTGTGCACCCCGCCACTGGGGACCTGGCCCACAACCCAGGCATGTGACCCAAATGGGAATCAAATCGGCGATGCTTCGGTTCACAGGCCGTTGCTCAATCCACTGAGCCACACCAGCCAAGGAAGATTCTAATCTACTACAATATGGTAGTGAGATGAGAGTGGGAACCGGAATCCCCAGGGTAACTGGAAAGAGAGGTCCTAGGCAGACAGCTGTACACCAAGAACAGATGCAGCCCGTCTGACCTGGAGGTTATCAGGAGGTCCTGGGGAGCCTTTAGGAGGATGGAATGGACAGCGTACCTGGTGGGTCTTTGACAATCTACAGTACAGGTTTTCCTGTGACAAACAGTTTGTAATTAAATACAAAAATAGGGAAACGAATCAAATATTAGCTCTACAGAAAAGGAAAAGTAGCACAGAAGAGGAAAAGTAATCATGTTTTAGTACATGGCTCACCTGTCAATAGCATTTATAGTCATAGTAATACAAACAATAAATGCTGATCTAACTCAAATAATGATCAAAATATATCATCAGCATGTAGTTAAAAGAGACTCTGATCGTGTGCAGTAGAATAATACCTAAAACTGGCATTAAAGTACCTAAAACTTATTTCAGAGACAAAGAAGTAACTATAAAATCAGTCAGCTAAGAGATGAAACTGGTGTCCCTGGAAAGGGAACTTGGGAGAGGAGGATGGGAATTGCTCTTTGGCAAAAACAAATTACTTTTAGAGCTATCTGACTTTTTCCCATGAACACATTCTTTTGATAAAAATTGTGACTAAAGAAAAAGAGCAAGGTACATAATATATACACATAGCATGCTACTATGTGTGTCCATGTACACAAAAGTTATTTATATGTGCATAAATCTGAAAGAATTAACAAGAGAAAAATAAGCATCACCTTGGTTGTCTATGGGGGGCGGTTATGAGGGCTGGTAACCAGGGCAACAGAAAGATATTTTTCACTCTGCAATACTCTGTCTTTTGAATTTTTAACCACAAGAATATAATGTCTATTCAAAATGTCATAAAGATATTGAGATGGCCAAAAAGTCCCTTTAGTTTTTCCATAAAATAAAAGACACATCTTTCATTTTCCCCAGTAACTTCACTGATTTGGATATTGTCAGTATGTCTCCCGCTGCCGGCCTCTAGCGGGGAGAGGCCGGGGGGGCGGGGGGGCCGCCAAACACCTTCCCATGCCGCAGACGGCCCCACGGCAGAGTTAGCTGGCCGGACGGTCAGCAGCACCAAGGAACTCCGCAAACCCCTTTACCACACTCAGTCGGTGACAGCACCTTCTCCGTACACTGCACACATCTTTTTTTGCATTTCAGTTGCATTTTTACCTTTCTTAAAATAATAAAGCATGATATGCCGAAAATGTTGTGTATCTTCTTCCATCTTCAATGTTAAAATGGCCACACAAAAAGTCCCCACCCCTGACGGTTTTGCGCGCACTGGTGTGACAGCCGTCACAGCGCAACCCAACAAAGCTATTTTGAATGAGGTTAACTCCAACTCGGCTCTACTAGAGCCGCTGCACAGGAAAAACACATGAACTAAAAAAAAAAAGGAACTTTTAGGCCAACCCAATATATCGTTATTCATCAAATATTTCTTTATGGGCCTATGTTCACATTGTTTCTGTGCTGCGCGTGTGTTTGCAGGCGCGCCGTGTGTGTGTGCGTATTTGGGACAGCAAAGTTTCCGACACCTAAAACTGTGTGGATTGGAATTTTGGTGGTCATTTCTTTACTTTCTTTACCCCTTTATATACTTTCTAAATTTCTACCATCACCAAGAATTCTGTCTGTGTGTGTCTGTATATGTGCGTGTTTGTGTTAAGTCCTAATAAGTAAGCAGTCAGTGTGAATTTAGCAAAAAGAAAAAAGAAAAAACCATAGTAAATCTCCGTTTTTACTATGATCCTTGTTTTACTATGATTCTTGTTTTACTATCCTATGATCAAATGCCATTACCCTCCATTCTGAGTGTTTTGGAAATGAGGTTCGCACCTGAACCAGGGGACCAGCCGACTGCCCGCGTGGGCACAATCCAATCCTCTGAGGGGCGCCACAGAGCAAAAGGCAGGAGAAGGAACATTTATTTGCCCCTTCGCTCTTCCTGCCTCATTGTTTGAACTAGGACAGTTCAATGTACCCTAAGTTTAAAAATACTTTAAAAAATGCTAACCATCACCTGAGCCTTTCGTGAGTCGTAGTCTTCTTGCTGGTGGAGGGATCTTGCCCAGACGCCGGTGGCTGCTGAAGGCTCAGGGTGGTGGCCGCGGCAATTTCTTAAAATAAGACAACCATGAGGTCTGCCACATCAACTGACTGTTCCTTTCATGAATGATTTCTCTGAAGCGTGTGATGCTATTTGCTAGCATCTTCCCCACAGAACTTCTTTCAAAGCTGAAGTCAATCCTTTCAAAGCCTGCCACTGTCATATCAATTTATATAAACTGATATAAATTTATACACTATATGTTTATGAAGTGACTGTAAAACCTTTTCAACAATTCCCACTGCACCTTCACCTGGAGTAGATTCCATCTAAGAAAAGACTTTCACTGTTCATCCATAAGAAGTAACTCCTTCCCGTTCACACTTTATCAGTGACACTGAAGCAATTGAGTCACATCTTCAGGTTCCACTTCTTTGGGTTCACAGGCTGGTGCTCGAGCCACTGGGCCACACCAGCCGGGGCTCAGACTCCACTTCTCATTCTAGTTTTCTGGCTCTTTGTACCACGTCTACAGTCACTTCCTCCACTGAAAGCTTCAATTCCTCAAAGTCATCCAAGAGGGTTGGAATCAACATCTTCCAAACTCCTGTTAATGTTACAATTTTGACCTCTTCTTGATTTCCTTAATGACATCCAGAAAGGTGAATCCCTTCCAGAAGGTTTCTAACTTACTTTGCCCAGATCCATCAAAGGATTAACTACCTATAGCAGCTAGACCCATATGTATTTCTTAAATAATAAGACTTGAAAATCAAAACTACTCCTTGACTCATGGGCTACAGAAATAAATGTTGTATTAGCAAGCATGAAAACTCTATTAACTTTATTGCGTATCTCCATGAAAGCTCTTAAGTGACCAGGTGCACTTCCAATATTTTGAAAGAAATCTTTTTTTCTGAGCAGCAGGTCTCAAGGAATTAAAATATTCAGTGAACCACGGTGCACGGTGCTGTCACCCTGGCTCTGCTCTTCAGCAGAAACTGCCACACTACTTCTTCCAGACCTTCAACTACCGAGAGTTCGAAAAGCTCTGGTCTGTAGCAAATAATTATTAGGGGCAGATGGGAGGTAGGAATAAAAGTGAAATTTACGCTGGAATAGCATTTCAAGGAAGAACATGCCTTGTGTGAGCATGGCTATCTTTCACTGATCTTTTATTTAAACGTTTCCTGAGGGACTGCCTCAAAATGAACATAAGCAAATGAATTACCACTACACATCAGCTATGTTATGATGTGAAACTACTATTATTACTGCAATTTACAGGCAAGAGGTTTCAAGTCATGACCGCTGATGTTGAATTTGGTGCTCAAATCACTATTAATGGAAGATAAAAGACAAAACTTTAGGAAAGAGACAGAGGAGTGAAAATCTTTCCATTCCTAGGAGGTCATAATAACACCAGTGTGTGGCAAGGATTTGCAGAGGTTCATGTTGTAACAAGAAGATACATTCAACATGACAATTTGCTAAAT